AATCATTTACAATTCAATTACAAATAGATATCATATTACAAGACAATAACTATCCTTATCTCCCTCTATTATTCTTGAGTTGTAGCTCCCACTTGATGCTAGGTCACTCAACCAAATGTAAACTAGCTCGAGTCCTTACAAATCACCTATTAAGCCTCTAAGAATAGGCGTACCACATAGCATCACATACAACAATAATAACAAATTTTCCAATACCTCCTACAATAATTATGCATGAACAATCATTAAACCGATCAATACAATATCATATATTTTATAACAAATTTTCACAACATATGTCCCATTTATTATTCCATTTAGCAAAAACATTTCAAATATTACATTTGCATTTCATAATTTTAAAACATATTTATTGTACTTTTATAAATATGTTTCTCAAGCAATCGTACACATAAAAGTAAGCAAGCACTAAACACAAATTAAAATATAGTTGCCTTGTGGCTTGAATAGCAAATTACCCTTTATAATTTTCCTTCCTCCACAATCTTCACCAATACAATCTGCAATAATTTTTCGCATCATATAGCATTAGTTTCAAGCTTTAAAACTAATAAACAATTTTAATAATAGAGTTAGAGAATATAGCTTATATTTCTAATCTCATTATTTATATTAATTATAAGGTTAGTATGACTAACCAAAATTCTAACCCCCTTACTAACATAATCACATCATTAATAGGCTATAATCAACCTCCAAACCATTTCTAACACCATAATTTTTCCATTTTATTCCTTAAATTCGGGCTATAAATATCTAGAAATTTTCAATTTGACCTCAAGCCTAGAATCACCATTTTAAAGCCTTATAAACATGTTTCTAATCTAAAATAAATTCCTAATCATCGCAAAGGAACCTCAATTTCTTTTTTCAAACTTTAATTTTCTCTAAACTTTATTTTCCTTACAACTTTCAATCCACTACCACTAATATATTTTTCCATCCCAATTGCATTCCTAGAATAATATCATTTTACTTGTCAGAGCTACTGAATAACAATAATTTCTTCAAGCCATCTTTAGTATCAAAATTGCAACATTTATAATTCCTACAAAAATTGCTAATTCACATTCAATCACAAATTTTAAAACTAATCCATATAATCATCAATATAACCTCTATTAAATCAAAATAAACAATTAAATTTGAATAAACTACCACTGTATCCATACATAACAATTTTCTCAATTAAAAGATAACTTTAATCCCTCAAATTAATTATTTGGAAAAATTTAAACCACACAAACTATCATTCTAATATCATTCGCTTCATTAAAAACTAAATAATCAATTGAAGTATCCATAAACTCAAAATCTACCAAACCTTGAGTTTTTCTCCATCAAAAAATCAAAAACTAAAAGGGATATGTAATTAAAAAAATATTGATAATACTTACACAATCTTAAAAAAACTTAAAATCTCATCTAAAATATCCTATCATGGAGTCTTGAATCAAAAATCACTTCCTCATTTCTCTCCTACATTCCCTATTTCTTTTTATCCCACTTGCTTTCAAAAATAGTGTACCACTATAATATTATAAATTCTCAAATCAACTTTCATAATTTTCTATAATTTTTCAAGACTCTTATAAAAGCTCAAGGACTTATAAATTTATTTCTATATTTTTTGGAATATAATTTTAATAATATTTATATAGTTAGAAGCAATCAAGTATAAAAGTAATTTACATAATTCAATTTAACCCCCCTTAGCCTTTTTAACTCTCCTTTTCAAAAAATTATGTATTGAAATCAAGACCTTAAAATTTATCTCAGATAATTACATGATTATTTTTAGTTACCATTGAATAATTTTCTTATGGTGTTACTTAACTTTTAAAAATAAAAATTGAGATGTTACAATTTGACTGTAGGAAATTTTAAAAATTAATTTAAAATTACGAGGCTGTTTGTTTTTCTATTTTTAAAAGTTGTTTTTGGTTTTTGAAAATAGAAAACATTAAAAAATTGTTTAGTTAAGTGTTTTCTATTTAGTTATTTGCAAAATTATTTTCATTTTCTTATCTTTAAAATACACTGCATTTAATTATTAAAAATTATAATTACTTTGATTAATTTTTATTAAAGATCATTATCATTGACCACTTATAATCATCATTATTAATTTATTTTTAAATTTTAAAATTATTTTTAATTAACATAACTAAACAAATTTTTATTTTATTTTATTTTGAAAAAAATTATAAAAATTGTATCATAAAATAGTTTTTAAAAATAAAAAATGATAACAAAAACCAAAGAGGCCATAATATTCTCAATTCAAAAGTGTCATCGACATTGGAGGGATACTCTAATGAATAATTTAAAATGATAAGTAAGATTATGCAAGGGCAAAAATGTTATTTAACTCATAAATAAATGTGTAACGTTGAATTCCGCTGTTGCCCATGTGCCACGTGACTCTTGGGGAGATATAAATAAAACATGTACTCTCCTGTTAAAATAAACAAATGAAGTATTTTTAATTCTTCAATGTTTAATTAATAATTTGTTTTAACAAATACCTTTCGTAAATAAACTACTCAACTTTTTATTTTTGATGATACATCTTTGCCTCATTAAAAAATAATATATGATAAATTAATTAATTTATTGAGGGGTATAATTCAATTAAAATATTTCATGTTTTTTAAGGGGAGGTGTGTAAATTTACATTTTAAAATCAGCTACTTTTATTTATAATTTTATTTACTTTTTAATTCGCTCTATTCGTAATAATATTTCTGCTTTTGCTTTTCCTATTAAAAATAACAATTATAAGGTAAGATTAACATGATTGCATTTATAAAAAAAAATAACATCTCATCCTTATTTTGTTTCGGAGCAACATTACTCCCATTGTCCCATGTTATTGCTCCATTTTCCAAGTTTTCCCGCGAATATTAGGTACCGTCCTCCGTCAACTTTGATATGATATCCCCAATATACAGGACCACGTTGAAGAGCACTTTTATCCTTTTGGGACAGCTTTTGGGCCCACACTTTGTAATTTTAATTTCTAATTTTTATGATCGAAGAGTTGGGTGCGAGCGGCTTTGTTTTTCTTGCCGGCATTATCCGAGAGAGTTATAGAAGCTGGCCAAAAAGTTATGATACTTAATTACATAAAATACCAAAAAATAGTACTTTTGCTTTATTTCCTTGATTACGCGATCTTTGAAATTTCATTCCCAATGTATAATCTTGATGCATAATAGGTCCTAATGAAGATAAAATAAGTATTTTTAATCAAAGAGTAGCGTCCTAGTTATGGACCACAATCTTTTCGAAAAGCAACCTTCGTACAGGCAAAAACTAAAAAATAGGAAATTATGCATTACACATTTTTCTGAGTGAACATTGCACATTTCTTTTTTCTTTTTAATAAAAAAAAAAGCTTATATGAGTTGGATATTGAAGCTCACCAAGGCCATCGTATATATTCAGAGTTAACGAGCACTTATAAAGTTATTATAGATTATCTACCAATAAATTCTAGTAAAATTTGATCATATAATCTCATGAATTATAAATCAAATATTTAACAACAGTATCAATCTTTTGTTGGCCACTGTACATTTCTTTTAATAAAAAACCGAACATATCAAATGCATTCACTTTATTGGGCTAGGAGAAAATAGAGCAACGCAATTTGGGCGGATTGGGCAAAATGGGAGGCCCACATTACAAAACTCTGACGTGATGCAATTGAGAGTTCCCCTGGGAACGTGGTCAATCCAATGCGAGTTGATCCCAGAGAACAAAAAAGATAAATTGTCTGCGCAAAGAAGTTCTTGGGCTTTGAGCCCGCATTTAAAACAGAATGAGAAACCCTTCTTCTTTTTTTTTTTTTATGCCTTTGCTTCTGCTCTAGCCCGTGCACCTTTTCTTTCTCCTTCCAAATAAAGAGCATGCTCATTTTTCCGGTTGATGTTTCTTTTTGGATGAAGAGACGAGTGACTTTTTTTTTTTTTTTTTTGCCTAAGAGTACATTGGCTGCAATTTTTAGTGTTGTCCTTGTTTTAGCAGCCAAGTGTTCCACCTGTCTCTTTGCTGTCTTTAAACCATGATGAGGACTGGGTAAATTGAAAATTGACGAAACTTACCCCGGCCATTCCAAACTTTCTATGGAATAGCTAGTTTAATTACATTATTAATAAATGTTGGTCTAGTCTATAAGTTTTGGTTTATAAATTATGAATTCAAATCCCCTGCTTAGATGAGAATTTAACTTATAGACAATATATAAATATTTTTATAAGCATTTTTTAAATTAATGCTTGACAAGTTGATGAGCTCTTATGACTGAGCTTATTTAAATATTTTTAAGCCAAATCTTATTCAACTATGTCAATCCCTAATGGTGTGCTAGCATGCAATCATTGAGCAGCTTTCGTTACCCTTGATCGGAAGGGAAGCCCATTTCTATTCTAAGCGGTGCTCTAATCGATAATTTCCATGCTACACTCCTTGAATTTTTCAGACATTATTTATTACACGAGAGCCCTCTTGCCCAGAATATACGTGCGTGGACTTGTCACCTTCTAGGCATTCTTCACAATGTGAACTAAGCACGCTTTCATCTCACACACCTTTTTTAAAAAGAAGACATAAAATTATTGTCCTTTCAAGGGTCCAAGATAGCAAATCGCCAAATTCTCAATTCGGACCACAATATATTTGGTATTCTTGGTCCTGTTGGTATAAAATATTTATGTTTTATATTTATACGCACACACATTTTAATATCTTTATTTTTTTATAACCCACTCAAATAATTAATGATAATATTTAAAATAAAAATAAATGCTATATATTTATTTAAATCAAGTGTAAAATTAGAGGTCGTGAAAATTTAAAAAAAATTAAATTTTAATCAATTTGTTTGAGAAACATAAATTAGTAAAAAGTAAATTTTACGGTGATATATAAAAAGGAGGGTGAGCTGCGTCGCGGCCATAATATAAAATCGCGGGCAAGCTCTTCGTCCTTTCTAGCTGAAAGCCCTAACCCCTGTTAGAAGCAGAGCTTCAGATGCTCACTTCGTCACTTCTCTTCATCCTTTAGCCGCTTCCCGTTAGCTCTCATAGTTTTGGAGTTTTTGGTCTTCAATGGCACTCTACATACTTTATGAATCGGCTTCTGGCTTCGCTCTGTTCCATGCTCATGGCCTTGATGAAATAGGGCAGAACACCGAAGCTGTCCGGAACTCTGTCTCGGACTTGAATCGCTTCGGGAAGGTGGTTCAGCTTACGGCTTTTCTTCCTTTTGAGTCTGCATTTGATGCCCTCAAACAGTGTAACGCGGTCTCTGAAGGTAGCTATCTTCAGGCTCCGAACTTCCATTTCTAGAATGAGTTCATTGCCTCGAAATCTCAAGTTGGTATATAGTCCGTTCCGTTTTTAATCGCCTCGCTTGTTCCTACGTCAACACTGTGTTTTTAAAACCTAATAAATCGATGGTGCATTCTGGCTTCATGACTATTTCTGTAGTCCTCCCGCTGCAAGGTCTTGTATGAAGTTGCTATATCAGTTATTGAGGCTCGCATATGCCAAAATTGTATTATGGCCATTATGTTTCTGGGGCTTCTCATTTCTCTCACTTTTTTCCCCTTTATAGCTTTTTATCTGTTAAATTTGAGATTAATCGATGTGTCATTAACATCGATTTAGGAGGTTGTGAAAAGATGTGTTCTTAAACCGAGATCATATTCGAGTTTCCGCTCTTCCACACCCTTTGTCTCCCTTTTGGAGTCCGGAGAAGCAGTCAGGACATTGGAAGTCTAACCTGAATCATAGTTTAATGACATATTTATAAATTTTCTGGAAATCTGGAATATATAACTCTATTAGCTTGGAACATGATGTTACCATTTTATTAGGGGTAGACGCGATTATTGCAAATTTTAATTTCTAATTCTTGCTTCACAACTTTTGGTGTTGGTCTTCTACTCTTTTTACAATAGAATTGAAATGTGACCCTCTAGTATGTTTGCTCGTAGTGTTCATTTCTACCTCTTACTTTTGTCTCTTATCAGGCTTATTGACTGATGAGCTGAGGAGCTTTCTTGAGCTCAATCTTCCCAAAGTCAAGGAAGGTAAGAAGGCGAAGTTCAGCTTAGGAGTAGCAGATCCTAAGATTGGTTCACAGATTGCCGAACTAAGTAAAATTCCTTGCCAAAGTAATGAGTTCGTGGGTGAGCTGCTCCGTGGTGTGCGACTTCATTTTGATAGGTTTATGAAGGATCTCAAGGTTAGCATTTTTTTTTGGTCTCTTTGTTTTTTCACCTGAGGCTCCTTTACGTTCCCAGATATTTTTTATTATATCTTCACTTTTCTTCCATTTTCTTTAATTTCATAGCCTGGAGATTTGGAAAAAGCACAACTTGGTCTGGGGCACAGTTATAGCAGGGCAAAGGTGAAATTTAATGTAAATCGAGTTGATAACATGGTCATCCAGGCAATTTTCCTTCTTGATACACTTGATAAGGATATTAATTCCTTCGCAATGAGAGTCAGGTATCGTTGACATTGATTTCCAAATATAGTCTATTCTTGAAACATTGAACCGTTTGATACCATTGGAGATTTTCGCCACAGAAAAAATAATAAATTTTATAAAATCAATCTGAAGAACTTTTCTTTGTTTTCTTTTTTTAGAAATCGAGTATAAACTTTATCTGAAGTAAAATTATCAATTCTCTGCAGAGAATGGTACTCATGGCATTTTCCCGAGCTTGCGAAGATTATAAATGACAACTATCTGTATGCCAAGGTGGCTAAATTTATTGAGGATAAATCGAAGCTGGCAGAAGACAAAATCCCAGGCTTGACAGACATAGTCGGAGATGAGGATAAGGCAAAGGAGATAGTTGAAGCTGCCAAGGCATCTATGGGTAGAATTCCTGTACATTTTTTGCGTGTAACCTTTGTTCCAATTTCTTCTGAAATTTGCTATCTCTTTATTTTCTTCAGGCCAGGATTTGTCCCCAGTGGACTTGATTAATGTCCAGCAATTTGCACAGAGGGTAATGGATCTCTCTGAGTATAGAAGGAAGCTTTATGATTATCTGGTTGCTAAGATGAACGACATAGCACCAAATTTGGCCTCTTTGATTGGTGAAGTTGTTGGTGCTCGTTTGATTTCCCATGCTGGTAGTCTCACCAATCTGGCTAAGTGCCCCTCTTCCACTCTCCAAATTCTTGGTGCAGAGAAGGCCTTATTCAGGTTTTGAACTCAATACCTGTTTCTGGGTTTTTTTTTTTTTTTTCAAGTTGTGGTTACTTATTGAAACTAAGAGGATTCAGATGTAAATTTCCTAGTCATTTTTCCCCCTTCCATGTTATCATATGTATTCTGCGAAGATAACAATTGAATTGATCATCAACAGCAAATGCTAATTTATATTGCATCCTGGATGCTGTTATTTCTTCTAATGTTTCACTTTTCCTATGGAATTCATTTTCCAATAAATGTCTTTGCCTGTACATTTCAGGGCATTGAAAACCAGAGGGAACACTCCTAAATATGGCCTGATATTCCATTCATCTTTTATTGGTCGAGCATCTGCTAGGAATAAGGGGCGAATGGCTCGCTATCTTGCAAACAAGTGTTCGATTGCGTCACGCATTGACTGCTTTTCTGGTTAGTAGTTTGCTTAAAATTTTGTTAGCATTGTTTATCTCTTATGACATCTCTTCTGAGTTGGCTATTCCCTCCATGTTTGATCTGATTTTGTTCTACACTTCTACCGTGATGCAGAGAGTGGCACTTCTGCTTTTGGGGAGAAACTTCGTGAACAAGTTGAAGAGCGACTTGACTTTTATGACAAGGGAGTTGCCCCGCGTAAGAACATAGACGTCATGAAGTCTGCTATTGAAAGTGCTCAAAACAAAGGTTTGTAGTAATGCAAATAGACATGATATTGCCGAGGCATTTCGCTTCCCCCTTTGAACCTCTTCAAAAGTTGAGATTGTCTATTTGGTTACTTATGGAAGTAAAATGTCAGAGAATGTAATTGACAAAATATTGCGAAGTGAAAATGGTTTTAACCAGGATACACGTTTTTCCTTAGTAAAAGTTCAATAGTGCCATTTTGCTGATTTATTCTTGATGTTGCAGACACACAGATGGAAACAGAAGTGCCTGTTGAAGTATCAAGCAAGAAAAACAAGAAGAAGTCAAAAGTTTCTGCAGATGAAGGTGAAGACATGTATGTGGATAAGCCCACAGAAATTACAAATGGCAGTGCATTGGAGGATCATAAATCAGCAAAGAAGAAAAAGAAAGAAAAGAAGAAATTGGGTCAGGAGATGGAGCTGCTGGATGAGGAAGGTGGAGACATGGCTGTGGATAAGCCCATGGCAACCACAAATGGAGGTGCAGCGGAGGATCACAAGTCAGAAAAGAAGAAGAAAAAGAAAGAGAAGAGGAAATTGGACCAGGATGCGGATGGTGCTGATGGGGTTGATAACGAGCAGCATGAAACAATTAAAAAGAAAAAGAAGGATAAAAGAGATGACGTGGAAGTATTTGAGAATGACAAGGAAACTAAGAAGAAAAAGAAGAAATCAAAAGGTGCGGATGCTGAGCAGCCAGTAAACTAGCTGTGAAAATAGATGTCTTGTTGCGTATGATGGTAAATTCATTAGTTTTGAATCTGGATGCTGGAACTTGCCCTATGTTGGCCTTGTTCTTCTTCGCTTAAGATTTGGCCCCGAGTCTGTCACCGTTTTAATATACCGTGCTCTAAGCCATTCTATAAGTATCCGATTGGGAGATTCAAATCCACGATTGTTCTGCAGCAACGATGACACAAAAAAAAAAAAAAAATCGGGTAAAATGTAATAAACATGTCTGAATAAAAATAATGTTGCGAATTGAGATTTCGTTAGTAGGACATTTTCCTAGTTGCTGTGCACAGATTGGGTACCAATATTGTAGTATATCATTCGTACAGATTGGGTACTATCGTAATAATATATCATGCATCTGAGAAGCAAATTAAGGAGAAATGGGTAGAAGTTAGAAAGCAATGAATGATTAAAAAATTGAATCAAATCAGATGGTTGGATTGTTGATCAATCAGGCGAACGGCTTGGTTAAGTTGAAAAAAATCATTTGAAGAGTTGGGTTGCTTTGGATCGACAGTCGAATTGGAAATTAGATCAAATCGGGAACTGGATTTGGTTTTTAATAATCGGACTGTTCAAAAAAAATGTCCTTTTTCTTGTTTTAAATTTTTTTATTAAATTAATTATTTGATATTATGTTATATCATGTAATATGTTAATTTTTGATAAATTTAAAATATTTAGTTTTATTTTTAAATTAAGTAATAATTTTATATTTATTTCTTATATTTAGATTATTATATACGTATATAATTTTTTAATTTAATTATTACATCATCGGTTCAACTGTTGGTTCAATCCGTTAAATCATACGAATTGTAAACTGTTAATCTTTTTAGTTTAATATCTAGTTTAATTTTAAAAATATTTCTAAAAAGCCAACAACTTCAAAAGGGTGAGTTTTGCAAGTCTCTCTCTAGCATTGCCATGGGTTTGGCATAAAAAGTAAATCACTATCAACAGAGGTCCTTGAACTTTTATGTAGTTAAAGGTAAGGCTAGTAATTAGGATAGAATTTGTCAATCTAGTGTTTTTAAACCTAAAAATAATCAGAATCGAATCGTTATTTTAGAGTAGAAAATAATAATTCAAACTTTAAAAGAGTTTGCCCTTTTAAACTTATTTTCTTAAAAATTTTATCCTAAAAAAAGAAAGACTAACTAAAAAGAAAGCAAAATTCTAGATTGAGGACTCATTTCTCTATTCCTCATTGACTCATCCACTTAAGAGGCTATACAAGAAAAAAAAAATCAAATTATATTAATATTTTGATAATAGTGATAATATTATTGTGGTGTGGATTCACTTAAATTCATTTTTCTAAATTTAATCTTATATGTAATAACTTTTTTTGATATTATAAGTGTTTTTTAGGTTTTTAAATTCAAAGAGAAAACAAAATGGGTTAAGGCCATACGTTTAGCCTTCAACCTTGAGCACCAGTACCAAGATTTAAAAAATAAAATCCTAAATTATGATTGAATTTAATAAGACCCGCTCACTTAAGCCTTGATCTTTAAGGGCTGATATATAGTCTTAGTCAATGAGATCGCATCACTATAATCACTTAAAAAATTATAATTCACCACCTAAAAGTTTTGGAAATCGTACCCCCTCCATTGGAATATTGGAATGAATCATTTGATCAAGTCTCAAGTTATCAACAGGGAGCCTAGAGGAAGCTATAGTCCTGCGGATCTTTAAATTCTAAAATTTAGACTAAATAGGATTAATGTTTATTAAAATGCTCCCTCAGCCCTATTTCTAAAACATAGTAAAAAAATTTTATCTTATTTATAAGATATTTTATTAATTTTTTTATTGTAAGTTTTATATTTTATTCTTTGTAAATATTATTAAAGATAAATGCTTTATTAAAAAAAAATTTTTTAATAGTGTCAAAATTAGAAATTTATTAAATTTTTAAAGAGAACTAATGAATATTAATATTTTTCTGAGTATTAATAAAATATATTGAGAAAACGGAAGGGAGTACTATAATTCCACAAAATTCCCTCTTTTTTCTTAAGGACATGAATTATGAAGAGCATTTGAGAGTTTAAACCCTAAACTTTAATGATATTAAGAAAATATTTATTAAAATAAAAAGAAAGAAGTATACACGGAGGTTGGTGTCTTTTTTTTTTTTTTTTTTGGTCAAAAGAAAAACAAACACGTCTAGTTCTCCTCTACAGCGGTGGAGGTTACATTAGACCAAAGCTAAATCACAACTAAAGCATTCGATAGGGACAGATTGAAGGATAAGAGTGTCAAAATCCACAAAATGAGTGTTTCTTGCCAGTTGGTTAGCGCAGCATACACTCTCGTGATAGGCATGGAAAATTTGAATGCCTTCCGTCTTTGCTAGCACCTGTTTGATCTGCTGGATTTCATAATTCATAGGGTGCTCTTGTCGTGCCCCACAAATCATGAGATTCATGGCTTCTAACGAATCCGTGAAAATGCTTACCGTTCCCTCATTACGATCCTTACATATCTGCAAGGCAGTCAAGGTTGCAAGTAATTCAGCAGCAATGAGTGGGCATTCTCCAAGTTCCATTAGAATCTGAGTGCGCCACCGCATCTAGCAAGCCCATCCCATCCAGTGACAGATCCATCTATATCAAACCACAGACCTCCTGCATTGGGTGGGCCACAAGCTTGCCCCTCACGAAGTCTTGATTGCAGAATGATCTGCTTCGATTCTGAGATTGATTCATCTTCTCTAAGTTGGTGAAGAATGGAGCCATACATGTCTTGTACATTTAATCTAGAGCCCTCAAACTCGCCACAGCATCTATTTTTCTATAGAATCCAGCAAGCGAAACCAAAGACCCGCTTTTATGGCCATTTTATCATTACTCCAGTGCCAGCTTCATGACTAAGATTCCAACTCATCCATTCCGACAAAGAAAAAATTTCCAAACTAGACAAATAACAAGAATTAGTCGATCGTAACCGAAGTTCTTTCGTAGTAGGACACTCTCCGAGCATATGTGAAACTGTTTCCTTGCAAAGACGCTCAAAGGGACAGTCAACACTCTCATCAAGCTTCTCTCGGCTTTAAGAAAGTTTGCTAGCAATCTCTTGTGGGCAGCTTGCCAAAACAACATTTTGATCCTTTCGGGGACCGAAAGCTTCCAGATCTCGCGCCAAGGACCTGAATGACCCTAAATCTGAGATCTGTTGACAAAGTTGTGAGCTGCGTTCATTGTGAAATTGCTAGCAGGTCTTGTTCTCCTCCAAAAAACCATCACGGGCAGTGACGGTGCCAAAGCCCTAAGCTAGGGTGTAACATTTTTTTGAGCTTCAATTAAACATATTTAAAATTTTTAAAAACCCAAACATCTTTAAAATTAAGAGAAAATTAACTCAATAATTTTAAAAATATAATTCTCATAAATTATGGATGAAGTTTTTGAATATTTTGAAATATGATTCATTCATAAAATTAATTAAATGTGTTTTTTCCTTTTTTATTTTTAAAATAAATTTATTATTAAAACAAAATATATTTTATTTAACTAGTCTTCAATTGATTGGATTTTTTATTTTTATAATAAAAAATCATATTGTACGTGCTTTCTCTAATTTATTATCTCTGAATATTTTTTTATCAGATTCTTTGATTTAATTTTTCTAAATCATTATATTCATCTATTGTATAGTACTTTTTTTATTAGAATTTTTTATTTAATTTTTCTGAATTACCATCTTCGTCACAAAGCTTTCCCTTTCTCTCTCTCTCTCTATTTTCTCAGATATTATGAAAAGGACATTAGACATTAAAAAGGAAACTTTATTATTGATATGCAATACTACATCATTGATATACGGCTCTATATATCAATGATAATCAAATAGTAAGTTTTTGTTGATATGGCTTATATATAAGTGATATATAGTATATCACTTATATATTATTGTAAATTAACATAACCAGACAATGAGATATAAACTTATTTTAAATTGATATACAATTGTATATTAATGATGCAGTATTATATATCAATAATATAAAAACACATAATTATTGGTCCAAAATAGATCAAATATAGTCCACAAAAAATTTTGAATTTTTAGTTTATCACAGGGAATCAAATACCTAAATTAATAAAATAAAAAATCATGAATCTGTAACTCTATTTTCCTGCTGGCGTGCTCTGTTTCATTGATGTATCTCACTTCGCATTTGTCTGTGTGGCTTGTTGCTCTGTTATCTCCTGTTCATCTTTCTTGCATCGAGTTTCGTATTCTCTCTCTCATTTGTTTCTCTCATTTCAAAGATTTCTTACATTTTGAATCTCCTGTTATTTCAAAAAAGCAAATATTAAAAAAGACAGTTTTGTAAATTAATTATAATCTAAATATTAAAAAAGGTTATTTTTGAAATTTGAGAAATGATAAGTTATTTTTTTTATTTGATCTTGTACTATGGGTTATTTATGTAAAAATCCCTAAAATTAAGCTAAGAGGTGCAAAATATTTGAATCAAGATATACAAAATAGCAAAATGTATAATCCCTTCTTATAATTTTTTTCAAATTAATGGGGTGCATTTGCCCCTCCAACTTATACCTATTGCTGTCCATAATCACGGACCTCACCTCCAAGGAAATGGATAATAGAGGGCCACCTCAAAGGAATGGATGTTAGAGAGCCTTTCAATAGATAAATATGTTATTAAGGTACGTATATACATATATATAATAGTGTTAAAATTAGAAATTTATTAAATTTTTATATAAAATTAATGAATATTAATATTTTTCTTAATTTTAATAAAATATACTGGGAAAAACGGAAGGGAGTAATATAATTCCACAAAATTGTCTCTGTTGTTTCCCCTTAAGGACATGAATTATAAAGAACGTTTGAGAGATTAAACTCTAAACCTTAATGACATTAAAAAAAATATTTATTAAAATAAAAGGAAAGAAAGAAACATGGAGGCTGGCGCCAATTTTGTTTTGCTTTTGCTTTTGTTTTTTTGGTCAAAAGGTTGGTACCGCTTTTTTGGGTAAACAGGTTGGTGCCTTCCAAACCATCACCTAACACTAACGCTTGGAGCGAAGGGCAAGGCGGTCACCTCAAGTGAACCTGTTTTCACTTGTCATTTGTTGCGGCGGCTTGAATTTAAAGTTTTGGAGTGTCCGAAATCTGAGGCGTTCGGATTCGGAAGCTTAAATTCCCGTCGTCACTAAAAACGTGTGAGCTCGTTCTGCTGACTGCTGAGACGAGAAAACCGAGGCTATTAGGAAGGATGAGCAACAGGGCAGAAAAAAGAGAGAGGAATGGCAAGCAGTAGTGCGGCAGTTAACCTGGAGGATGTTCCGTCTGTGGATCTCATGACTGAGGTTCTCCGTCGCTTGAAATGCTCCTCCAAAACTGACAAGCGTCTCATTCTCATTGGTATTTATGTACTTCTAACCTTCGCCCCGCTTCAAGTTTCCATTTTTATCCTGGTTTTGTTTTCAGATCCGAAAATTCTCTTTGAATGTTTTGACAAGTTTGATGTATTTGCCTTTCTGAGTTTTTTTTCGCCCTTGTTAGCGTTCAATTTAGGGATTGCACAAGGTTCCTCATGACTTTTATGTGTATAATTGTAATCATTTGATGGTCTGGGCGTAATTTGCGGCAACATTTTACAAGAAAGAAGCAAAAAGTGGTGTTGAATATACCTTGGCTCGAGAAGTTAATAGCCCGTTTGGTTCAAAAAGAATCTAATGTAATGTAACGCTAAGGAATGGAATGTAATGTAATAAGGATTACATGTGTTTGTTTGATATGTTATATGAGGAAGGATATTTTGATATAAAATGTGGTTGTAATGGGGATTGCATAGGTTTATTGATGTAATCCTTTTTACAGTGTATGATGTAATTTGCTTTACATTACCTGGTGCCAACCAAACAGCTGAAATCATGTAATGCATCATGATTACAGCTAATCCCCTTGCACTGGATCGAATCAAACAGGCTATAAGGTTTTTGTCTGCTGGAGTTGAAATTGATACAGTTTTCCTCTTGCTGGTTGATCGTCTTTTGATTTTCAGGCATCCCGGGAGTTTTTCTTGATCATCTGTGGTAGATGAGTTGGGTTTTCCTTGATATGATTTTAGCAGCCTGTGAGCGTATTTCTCATGTTTGGAGGTCATTTTAAGGTCTAGCGCTTAGTGTTTTGAAATCCATCGTTGTCTCTACGAGGAGGTCTATACCGTGCTCAAGAACATGCTTCTTTTTGTTGGTGAATCTACTTAATTTTGATTGTGAGACGGATGAGATAATGTGGTTTCTTTTGTGTTTTTACTGGTCATTGTTGCATTGTAAAAATTTACATTGTAGGGTTAGTATTTTTGTTTTCAGATAATAATGTGTCCGATGTAAGCTGTCCACTGTCACTTTAGTTTGGAGATTCTCTTTTTTAAGGTGCCCCTCTATCTTTCGGAGGGAAGCCCTCCGCTGCAGCTGGAGATAATAAATCTGGACCATGCAGAAATATTTGGGTAGTCCAGATTTAATCTTTTTTATTTTATTTTATTAAAATAAAAAATTATATAAACTATAAAAAATTTTAATAAATCTTTTTATAAGCTTAGACAGTCCAAATTTAATATATATGATTCAAATATAATATTAAAATTTTATAATTTTTATAAATTAACTGTCCAGATATATTCTGGACAGTGCAGCGTTTATATTAAATTTTTTTAATATTATATCTAAATCGTATATATTAAATTTGGACTGTCTAAACAATAAAAAGATTTATTAAGTTTGTTTATAGTTTATATAATTTTTTATTTTAATAAAATAAAATAAAAAAATTAAATCTGGAAACCAAGTCCCTATCTTTCTTTATGCCACTCTTTCGAAACTCTAATTTTGAAACAGTGAATTGGTACTGCAAATCAGTATATATAGCAGTAGCATGAGAAATTGTAATGTGATTCTCCTGTTAAAAATGGGGAATGTTTCTGTTCTTGTTAGTATTTTGTCAATAATTTTCTTGGACTAAACCATATTTTGTTGATGGCGTGTTATTATGGATGCCATTGGCCATTGCCTCATGCCAAGGGCAACTGGGCAACACCGCAGTTGTGTCATTGCCATTGCATGCCACCTGTGCCAAGGGCAACAGTGCATGGTGTGTGCCATTTGGCCAATTTGTGTTTCTACTTTGACCATTAGAGAAGACCGAGTGTTTACTATTTACAAGTGTCTTTTTTATGAGGCAGACACTGTTTCTTCCACACAATGTGAGCTTCTTTCTGATTTATTATTTTCTTGGGCACCCAAGTATGACGGGGAGGCTTTTCTTAAAAGCTATTAAAGTGTCAACCAACTTATGTATTCTATAGAACATCCCATACTATTCAATGTGAGAGTAAGGGTGCCATACTATGTGTCCATCATATAGAACATCTCATACTTCTACTGGCAATTATTGGTGGTAGATACCTGTTCAATTTATATTTTGGATGTATACGTGTGTGTACTATATGCACATACACATGTATGCACGCATGCATTCCATTCACACATACTCATCTAGTGCATGCTCTGCAGTTCCCTTTTGCTATTTGAACCGTGCATGGTGTGCTATGGCTTTAGGAGTCCTTATTGCAACAGTTTGCTGCATGCTGTCAATCATCTGGGGTTAACAATCGTTTACTCTAATAAGTTAATAATGACTAATCATTGGTTTTCAGGTTATGTTATACTCTTTATTTGGCTTGATTGACACGTATAATATTCTTCCTTCAAGAATTCACTTCAACACAAATGGTTTAGATTCACTGATTCAGAGATTTAAGTAAGTTTTGATGACTGGCTTGCTTGTTCCCTTGCAAGCAGTAAGCACTTATGCCTGTCAATTTTTTTTTCTTTTTTGTTTTTTTTTTTGGGGGGGGTGGGGTGTTGAACATTCATTAAGCTATAGTAATTGTAACATGTGACAGGAGCAATCGTAGGTGTGAAAAATTATCAAAGTATGAGAATTGTATATGCTGTAATTATTTCTCAGCACTAAACTTCAAAATTGTAAATGCAGGTCCACCTGGATCAGGAAAAGGCACCCAATCACCAATAATTAAAGATGAGTACTGCTTGTGCCACCTAGCTACTGGTGATATGTTACGAGCAGCTGTGGCTGCTAAAACCCCTCTGGGCATCAAGGCTAAAGAAGCTGTGGATGCGGTAAGGCCTTTTTCTATGATGTGGCTTTGCTGTATCACTTTTTGTGCACTTATTAGAAGAGATTTCGAAGATGACATCATGCGGGTACTTTCCAGGGACAACTTGTTTCTGATGACTTAGTTGTTGGCATTATAGATGAAGCAATAAAGAAACCATCCTGCCAGAAAGGTTTCATTCTTGATGGATTTCCTAGAACTGTGGTCCAAGCAGAGAAGGTATTACATTGTTGGGCATCCAAGCTTCTGTGTGAGTTTCTTTCGTATGAGATGTTGGGCGGGTTGTGCGCAACTGCGCATTTTTGTTTGCATGAAGTGCCAGTTGTGAACTTTATGATTTGCAATTTCAGATTTTGCTGTTGTTCTGCATCTATGAATCTGAAATTTGAATATTATCTGTTCTTCTGCATGCAGCTTGATGAGATGCTGGAGAAGAAGGGGGTTAAAATTGATAAAGTGCTGAATTTTGCAATTGATGACGCAGTACTTGAGGAGCGTATTACTGGTCGCTGGATACACCCATCCAGTGGCAGAACCTACCATACAAAATTTGCTCCTCCCAAGGTTCCTGGGGTTGATGATGTAAGTCTACCACTCTCAGAATGTTTTCTTTTCCTTTTATTTATATTTTGAAAATTTTAGTTAGCAAAATATGAGTGATGCTTACAGGGACAGGAATGAGAACCTGAGATATAATCAAGCAGAGTAGAATGAGCTCTGAATATGTCGAGGCTCCACAATTGAATTTATTTTTAGTGTTCACTTGTAAATCAACTTGGTTTCTGGCCACACTGGTCCTATCCATGAGAATTGTTAACGTTTGTGAATTCTGCTCAGATTACAGTATGAGCCACACTGTTCATGTTCACGATTTGTTGATAATATAACTTGTCATGTATTATTGTATATAATGTAGGTGTATAGATGACAAAGTTGTTTTGCTTAGGTTACTGGTGAGCCTCTTATTCAGCGCAAGGATGATACAGCAACTGTTCTCAAGTCGAGACTGGAGGCATTTCACAAGCAAACTGAGCCGGTATGATTTTCAATTCACTTGGACTTAAAAAGATTCAAACAGGAAACAAAGTTTGAAGGTCAAAATCAATCTGTCATTTCATTTCTGTATAATGAAAATCTATGGGATGGAAATGTAGGTTATTGATTATTATTCAAAGAAGGGCGTTGTTGCTAATCTCGCAGCTGAGAAATCTCCCAAAGAAGTGACGGCAGAAGTGGGGAAGGTGCTATCTTCATAAGAGTTAGATAGCTTCACCTCAAAATGCATTTGCTTTCCCCATTGATAATCCAAGTTTCCCAATTTGTATTTTAATATTATACTCTTCAAATTCACCCACCCTTCCGCTCTAACTGGTTTGTTTCGTCAGAAACGTCGGCTTTAGTTTCCAACTCATAGAGTTGATGAGTTAATGAAATAAAATTCAATTGAGTATTACTGTTACTCTTTTTCTTAAAAGAAAAAAACAATCGTAGACTGTGCTGTCAATGTTCTTGTGATTCGCGATACATGTTTGTTTCGTGGGGAAATTGAATTCAAGAGCCGCAATTTTGGAAAATTGGTTACTTTTTCAGATTTTTAAAATACTCCCAACCTCATTTTTTTAAAAATTTAAATATAAATTTTTTTAAAGATATTCTTCATTTAGTAATATTAAACTTATATGTAATTAGTATTAAATAGAGAGAGAAAGAAAAATATTAAAATAAATTTATTTAATGAAATATTAATATTTTTAAAGTATTTTATATTTGGAGATGGTAAATTTTTTTTTTTAAAATATCTTATAAGTTGAATTGAAGGGATTATTTTTTTATGAATAAAGGAAAATATTCTTACCAAATTTATTTTTAAACTTATCATTTAAGTTTTTTTATTTGGAGAACTATGAAGATTTTCACGGGTATTATTTTTGAAATCAGCTGTTTTTATAAACACGCAAGCACATAAACAACAAGCAAATAATTGCTAGGTCGATTTTTTCTCAAGGGATGGAAGTGACTGTTGTTGGAACAGTTAACCCTTGACTTTGTGTTTAAGATTTAAGAATTGCTTTTGTTTTTTTAATATGGTGCATAACCAAAAAAAGAAAAGTTAGTAGAAGCGACGTGTTTATGGAACCTAATATCACTTGTATAAAAAAAGAGGATGTCACGAACAAATAAATGCAAGCAAACAGAAAAGAACATGATTTGTGATGGCCACGGAAAAAACCCAGAACAGCGATCTCGTGTCCACGTTGTCGCCGATAAATTCTGTTTCCCAAAGTGTTACTGATATATTCTCTTTACACCACAACATAAATTATAGTTAATTAATTTATAATTTATAAATAATATTAGTTGAAACATTAAAATTTTAAAAATATCTACTTTTTTATTTATACTCTCATTAAATATTCTATAAAAGAACTGTGATAATAATAATTAAAATTAAAATTTTAATACATGATGTTTTTCAAAAAGAGTAATAAATGAATTAAGGCTGTAAGAGTATAGTTAAAAAAATAAATATAAAAGTCATTTAATATTTTATATTTTGGATTAGATAAAGTTTTTAAAAGATACGTTATTTTGTGGTTTAACGGAAGTAATTTGATAATAAGCTTAAGAATCTAAAACATAATTTATTTATTTTTTTTAAATCGTACATAATGGTTTGCCGGGTGAGTCTCTAATTGACAATTCTCCAGGGAAATAAAGAGACTTTTTTTTATAAATCCATATTTATTTCTTGAATTTTTCAGTTTATGTTGAATCAAAACTAGATCAATAACACACACACATTTAAAACTTGGAATAATGATAAAAAGGTTACAAAAGAATTAGTTAATTAAAGTTAAATTTTAAGTGCCAAACTTCATAAATTTGTAACTTAATTTTTTAATTTTACAACAACATTGTAATAAATTTGTAACTTATTTTTTAAATTTTAACATGATTAAAAAATAAAAAAATTTATTTATTTTATTAAAATTTAGAATATAAGTTATAAATTCATCATAATAAAATTATAAAATTGAGAGATTGAGCTGTAACTTCCTGAAATTTAATATTTAAAACCTAACTTAAATTAATTAATTATTTTAGGACTTTTCTATCATTTTCTCTTAAAACTTTCAAAATAAACATTTGTCATATTGAACCTCGATTTGCCAAAATCTACTTTAACTTGCATATGTATGGAATTACTTTTGGGAGAATTTCAAATAAACACTAAGGATGAAACTTAATTATTAGTGAATCTTAAAAGATTTTAAAATTTTAGCTCAGTTCAGAGGGATAACAGCGAAAATAATTTCAACTGTAAAACAAATTAAGGTACCCTTCACTTATCATGTGGAATTATTAGTTATTAATTTTCTTACTTTACTTATTTGTTTACTAATATGAGTTGCAAATGACATGAGTTGGCATGTTAATAATTTTATTAAACTTGATATCAATTGTTCAATTATAAGCAGTAATATCAATTGTTAAATTATAATTTTACTTGTCAATTTATTAATATTGATCATAAATTATTAACAATTATTATAATTTACTAACAGTAATTATAAGTTACAAATAGGTCATGTAATTTATGGTTGATGTTAGTACATTAACAAACAAAGTTAACAAATTAATAACTAATGTTATTATTTGTTTGACAAACAAATACAATTTATAAGTGATATTAATAAATTAACAAGTAAAATAACAATAATAATTCTGTACAACAAGTGAATGGTATTTTAATTTTTTCATAATTAAAGTTATCTTCACCTTTATACCTTGTGCTGAATTGAGATTTTAAAATTTTTTAAAACTCACTGTTAATTAAATCACATTGCTGATCCTTGTTTGAAATTCTCCCATTAGTTTGTAATGTGTATTTTTGGTTTTACAAACAGAGCCTGCAGAAAAAAAAATCCAATATCTTATAAGAGTGAAATCCAAACATAACGGTACAAAGTAAGACAAACCACCAAATTTTTTTTTTTAAAAAAAAGCTCAATCCTGAAAGAGCAGGCAAGGATTGAGTAGAGGCAATCTACTTCGGCGTATATGCAAAACCACTTCTGAGCATGTATGTATCAAGTACATGTGCGTGTTCGATACTTATTCTTACATTATCGAGCGTACTGACGTAAATTTGTTTGGATGAATCTTGTCGTTTAATACATCGACTTTGGGATCCACAAGGGAACCTTAATAAATAATAATAACAATAATACTCCCCGCTTGTCTCTCTTTTCTTTTTCTGTGCCGTCCATCACCAACTCTGAGCCGCCGAGCCACGTCCCCGTAGGATAAAACCGTACTTTCAGCGCGCCTCTGGCTAGTGGCTTCACGAGTTGCCCGAGTTCAACGCCCGCATTGTGCATTCAGCCATTCCTCCACCACCACCACACCCAGACGAATGTCTATTTATTATTTTATTTAAATAATACTCCATTAGCAATGAATTATGAATATTCTTTCATGAAGAAAAATAAATGGTTGGTCCTCATTAGGTTCCTCATGCTTTCATGCGTTTATGCATAGAAATACTTAAAAATAGCTCATCGATAACTTTCTCATATCCACTGAAGGATTTAAATCTACAATCCTGTTATAAGTTAAATGATCATTATCAGTGAATAATGAATGATTTAATTTACATCAATAACATTAAGTAATATGATCTCATAAATTTGAATTACGGTGTCTATATTTGTCATTTGAAGATTGAGCCACATGATCTCGCCCTCTCTCCTCTCTGAACGCTCCACGGTCAACGCCGTCTTCATTGCCATGGCAAACCAATCCCAGGCGAAGCCTAGCCTTGCCGTCGACCCGAACTCCGGCTTTTGCCTTCTAACCAGAACATTCCATAGCCTCCGTCCTGACCACCCCGTTCCTCCTCTCTCTCAACCTCTCTCCATCGCCGACTACGCATGCTCTCTCCTCCCCACCTCCGTCTCGTCCACCACCGTCCTCATCGACTCCGTCACCGGCCGCCTCCTGTCCTACTCCCTCTTCCTTCGCCAAGTCAAAAACCTCGCTTCCTCCCTCGTTTCCCTCGCCCCTCTTTCCAAAGGCCACGTCGCCTTCATTCTCTCCCCTTCTTCTTTGCACATTCCCGTTCTCTATTTCTCTCTCTTGTCTCTCGGAGTCATCGTCTCACCCGCTAACCCGCTGAGCTCTGACTCGGAGGTAGCTCACCAGGTTCAACTCGTTCAACCCGTTATCGCATTCGCCACCTCGTCTACTGCCCACAAGATCCCAAACCTTCAATACGGTACCATATTGCTCGACTCGCCTCAGTTCCTTTCCATGATTGACGGACTCCCCGGAAATGTTAACAGCGGAAGCGGCACAGTTGAGGTGAGTCAATCTGATACGGCGGCGATTCTATTCTCTTCGGGAACCACAGGCCGAGTCAAGGGAGCTTTGTTGACTCACGGGAATTTTATTTCGGTAATCAGTGGGCTGCATTACACGAGGCACCTGAATAGCAATGATGAAGCACGCCGTGTGTACTTGTTCCCATTGCCTCTGTTTCACGTGTTTGGTTTTTTCGCGCTGATTTCGTCCGTGGCAGCAGGGGATACGGTGGTTTTGATGCGGAGGTTCGATTTCGGAGAGATGTTGAAGGCGGTAGAGAGATACAAAATTACTACCATGCCGGTGTCGCCCCCGCTTGTGGTGGCGCTGACTAAGTCGGAGTTTGCCAGCAAGTACGACCTTAGCTCGCTTCGGTTTCTGGGATGCGGCGGCGCCCCTCTTGGCAAAGAAGTGGCTGAAAACTTCAAAGTCAAATTCCCCAACGTGGAAATTAGCGAAGTGGGTTGAGTTTTCCATAATGCTGTTACATATCATTATAATATCCAGTACCAGCATGCTCGCGTTAATTAATGATAACTTATTTTGATAAATATTCTGAATTTGACTTACGTGTAAAGTTATGATATGATTCAAATGCTCAACGTACAATTAAGATTACATGCATGACATGTTGTATTGGCCTGAAAAATTAATTCAACGGTCTTTTCCCTCTCAATTCTGCTTATCGTATTTTTATTGACGATCGACAGGGCTATGGTTTGACTGAGAGCTCAGGTTTAGCAACGAGAATGATAGGGCCTGAGGAGACAAAGCGTCACGGTTCAGTGGGTCGACTAGAAAAGAATTTTGAAGCCAAAATAGTGGATTCTGTGTCTGGAGAAGCATTGCCTCCTGGAAAGAAAGGAGAATTATGGTTGCGAGGTCCTACAATTATGAAAGGCACGTGAAGAATTTCTATTCTTATTTCTTGGAGGATAAGATTAGAAGTTTCATAGGTTGATGGGGGAATATATATGCAGGTTATGTGGCAGATGAGACGGCCACCACTGACACATTGGATTCAGAAGGATGGCTCAAGACTGGTGATCTTTGTTACTTTGACTCCCATGGCTTCCTCTTTATTGTCGACAGGATAAAGGAGCTGATTAAATACAAAGCATACCAGGTGATGATGTTACTGTTAGCTGTTCATGAGTACAAATGCTCTGAAGTTAAAAATATAGACCAAAAATCAAACTAAAAACCTCATATTCAACCGCCGTTCAACACAATGGTTTAAGATTAAATAATCAAAATTATAGCCCAACCATGGTCAGGTTGGTAATAAGCAAAGTAGGTTCTTAAATTGGGTAATATATTGTTTTGACGGTACTTTATCTGTTCAACCCGTCAAATTGACCCGATTTTTAATTATACTAAGCTAAAAATAGGGAGAAAGTAAACTGTCTCGTGTTAGTTTTCCTCTATCGTAGAAGTACTCCCTAGCATTCTTATATCAACATTCAAATTGCACGTACTGTCCAAGATATATATAGTCTGGTGCTAATTAATTGTGTGAAAACCTTTCAGTCATCCTCTTGATCCAATATAATTTAAGTCAACTTTCTAAAATTCTCTGAAAATTTACTGTACATTTAAAGGATTGAAATAAAATTTTAAAAAAACCCAAATGATCTTATTGTTTCAATATAATTTAATTTATTTAGAGAAAATAAACAACTGATATGGATAAGATTTGTAATTCTCATTAATAACATAATACTATTATGAATTTAAAACTTCTCATTTCACTTATGTCAATTGATCATTTTTTATATATCAGTTATTTATTTTTTTATATAAGTTGTTTGTATGCCTGACTTTATTGGGAACAATAAAATCATTTAAGTTATCTTTTTAATTTCATTTAAAGTGAAATTTTAGAACTTTGAAGGTTTGATTAAAATTATATTGGATTGAGGGGCTCACTAAAAATTTCTCTAATTGCGTTTTGGACGACTACATTTACCTACTGGACTCTGAACTCTGAAGTAAAAGCAGGTTCCCCCAGCTGAGTTGGAACTTCTACTTCTCTCACATCCTGAAATTGCCGATGCTGCTGTAATTCCGTACGTATCTCGTGAAAACCAAATCTTTCACTGCTTTTCATTTTCCAAAGCACGTTTCCATTTCCTACCCTATTCTTAGTATTGTATTTTTTGGATAAGAAAGACAATATATATCCATGTAGCCGCAAAGTTTGCAGAATCTCCAAGAGCACAACGTATGAATCTTGGCACTTGTCTGTGAAATCATATATCGTTTCATGGATAAGATCCATGATTCAAGTACACTAGCTAGTATGTGTTTCGTTGAAGCAGAGCTAATTTAATATGGGTGTTACTTCGTGACAGTTATCCAGATGAAGATGCAGGGCAGATACCAATGGCTTTTGTGGTAAGAAAATCTGGAAGCAATATTATTGCATCCGAGGTCATGGATTTCGTGGCAAAGCAGGTAATCGCTGCTACTGATCTAGTTAAGATGAGAATTAATTTGGCTTATGATAATTAATCGATTGATTTTCTTACACGGTGATGTTACATTGCAGGTGGCGCCATACAAGAAAATAAGGCGACTATCATTTGTGAATAATATCCCAAAATCTGCATCAGGTAAAATATTGAGAAGGGAATTGGTTACTTATGCTCTGAATGGTAGTGTTTCCTCCAAATTGTGATTAGAGCGATGATTATGGGAACAAATCACTTTAGGCTTAAAGAACTTGTGTCTGTTTTGTGCATTGCACAGCATATGAAGATAAATGAGCTGTACTGTTTATGTAGTTAATAGTTTATAAGCAGTGCAACTTATATTGAGATTTTATATTATGCATAAACACAACACTGTGAAATCAATTAAATAGGACACTCCCGCTATTTAACGTTATCGACGCAGAATGCACTAATTAGCGAACTCAGTATGTTAATGCTTTGCTTGCCACAATTTAGAAAGATAACATTTTTTTTTATTCAAAAGAAATCAATTAGTCAAGTTCTAAGGATGTCAATAGGGTAAAGGAAAAAAGATTTGTTTGCTTTATTTATAAAACATGTTATTAACTTTTTATCACAATTTTTTTATCTTATATAAAGTTACTAAGAGAAATTATATTATTAATATATGTATGTGTGTGTGTAATATATGAGAGTCAAGTTAAAGACTTATTAAATTTTTAGATAGAGTTAATCAGTTTGTTAAATAAATTATAAACTCTGTAAAATAATTTAATTAAAAATTATACATTAATTAATTATCTATCTGATCTAATAGTAATGTACAGTGTAAAATAATATACATTGATTTGTCAAAATTCGAACGCGGACTTATCAAGTAAATATTTAAGTAAGTGTTTAAGTTTCAACAAGTCAACATCCAGTTGTTATATCCTTCAGGGTCTTTTATCTTTCGAAATGCTTTATACAAATCATCTATGACATTGTAACTATAAATTCTGATATTGACGAGTATATATCAAGATTCGAAAAGTCTAAAACTACTTATCATCTTTGGTGTCAACTTGTAATTCATTTAATTTGTTTATAAATCAAATTATTAACATTTTATAATTTTACAAACACATCTTACATTAAGAAGACAATATTCATATTTTTAGAACATCAAATCCACTTATTGTCACGAGGGACTTTAAACACTCAAAAAGGCGTCTCTAACAAAAATGGAATGTTTTTGGCGCGGACTTGGGAGGATCTGGTGACTATGATCCGATGACGTTAAATTTTGCTAGTATTTTTGTGGGCCCAACATCCAACCAATAATGATCTCCCGTTATGAGATTCATGCATGATAACACATGGTACACGTGGAGGAAACATGTGGACGAAAGCAGAAAACAGTGGCAGTATTGCTAGACCTCCAACGCGAAACTCCCACTCATTCAAAAAATAAGAATTTTTTTAATTAATTTTAATTTAAAATATAAACAATTCAGTATATATATATTTTTATTTTATCCCTTATATTTATTAATTTAAATATTCATATAAGAGTATTTCTCAATTAATTTTAATTTAAAATATAAACAATTCAGTATATATATATATATTTATTTTATCCCTTATATTTATTAATTTAAATATTCATATAAGAGTATTTCTCAATTAATTTTAATTTAAAATATAAACAATTCAGTATATATATATTATTTTATTTTTTATATTTATTAATTTAAATATTCATATAAGTGTATTTCTCAGTAGTTACTACGAAGTGTATTGATAATTAAAAATAGGAGATAAAACAATATCTATTTTATGAAAATAAAAATTTTTATTCGTTCTTAATATTTGCTTATATTTAAAATTTGAAGGGGTAGGAGCTTAAATTCTGATCCTACATTCCACTACCGCTGCTGGAGGCCGTGGGATTGACATACTTTTTGTAAGCTGTGAATTAGAAGAATTTTTAATCCTTGATATAAGATAATAGATATCAGTTATATTTTTTAATATTATTTTTATCTAAATTTATTAATTATAAGATAGAATATAATGTAAATTTAAAAATTTGTGTTTAAATACAGATAAAATTAAAAATTTGTTCCATTTTTAAATAAGATTAGTAGCTTAATTATATTTCTTTAATTTCAATAAAATAATTAAATATATTTTATAACAAGGACTCGTATGGCATATATACCTTTCATCCAACTCATATTAATAGAGCTGAAAAACAAACGGCCTTTATGAGCTTGGCCCACAAGGGCTTTAATTCTTAAATTTAATTTTTTATTTTTCACTTCCTGTTTTAGGTTCATCCCTTATTTAAATGGCTCAGGAATGGGCCCACAAGTTCTGTTATAAAAAAATAAAATAAAATATTATAAATTAATTAAAATATTTTAAAATTAAAAAAATTATAATTCTCATAATCTTTTATAAATTAAACAATACACATTTAGAAATATAATAATAAAATTTAAATCTTGATCAAGAAATAGTTTTTTTTATAGATACACAAACATAATAATTATAAAGAAATAAAAAATATCAGAAATTTTATACTGTACACTGATATTTATTAAATTATATCAAATTAATTTTAGAATAAATTAAAATTAATAATAATATAATGCATGTAAGATCAAGATTTCAGGCCAGCAGGTCCTTAACTTCAAACATGTATTCCACAACAAAAAAATATAATAGGACTTAAAAGGTTACCCAAGCCTAATTTTTTTTTATAAAGCTTATCAAGACTAGTTTTTCAAATTTGATCACTTTAAAAAAAATTATTTTTAAAACTTAAAACCTTATTCAAACAAAACTTTTAAGACCAACTTTCTAAATTCAGCTTTTATTTTCGGCTTTGCTCATGTAGAGTTGATAGTTATATATTTTAAGTAGTTTAATTTTCCATGCACCACATAAACGTGTCACTTAATGAGGGAAAAATCCGTCCCTTGCTTGTCAATTTTTTATTTGATTCTTGCGTTTAGTTACTTTTTAGATTAGTCCTCCTGCCACTCAATCCTCATTGATCTTTTCCATTACAAAATTTATCCCCTCACTTTCGTGCGGCATAGACCGCGTTACGATAGCACATAGTACTTGTATTTTTTCACTCAAAATGTAAACAACTTTAAAAAAATTCACATCTCAATGAAATTTTCATAGAAGCATGACAAATAAATTTTAAGAGAATCAATTACTTTAAATTGAGTTTTAGAGTTTCAAACTACAAAAATTTATAAATTTAGCTCTCAATTTTAAAATTTTATTATGATAAATTTGTAACTTATATTTTAAAATTTTAACATAATTAAAAATAACCTATAAATTTATTATAATGAAATTGTAAAATTAAAAGTTGAATTTGTAAATTTTTAAAGTTTAACAATTTGGGACTTAATTTAAATTATTTGATCCTCTTGAAACCTATCTATCATTCTTCCACTTTTCATTTCATAAAAATAGACAATGTTTTTATTTTTACTTTTAATTCTTATCATTTTTTTCCTGCTCAATTTGATTTCAATTATCAATACTTTTCATTATGAGTAAAAGATGACTTTATACAAGAGATATGTTAATAAATACAAGAAGTAAAATGATAATTTTTTTATATATATTTGATTGCTTATATTTTAAATTAAAAAGGTTATACTTTGGATTGAAAAAGTACATGACAAATTCTTAGATAAGTGAGATATAACACGTCATTCAATTAAAAATGTCCAAAGTTATATAAATAAATTTTTTTGATATTATTTTAATCAATTCTATTCTTCAAACAAAATACATATTTAATTTAATCTTTTTTTATTATTAATATTAAAATTAATTTATATTTAATATTATTTGAATGTGATAATTTTTTCTGGACAGCTCACAAATATGACACATCTAGTGTATTTAAGAATTTCTGTGAGTCTGTGAAGATTGACAATAATTGCGGTGTGCTTGAAGGAACTTGGATGGAACCTTTTCATTGTCGAGCCACAGTTTCTCTGGGCTGCTACGGATGAAAGACGTGACATGTAGAGATATGAAATTATGGAATATGAACAGAGCCTTTTCAATTGGTTTCATCAGGACTTCGGTAACAATAGAAGTTGGACCAACTGACGCAGAGGCTGTGAAGGCAAAGCTGAAAGCACGAAATGCACCACAAAGGCATCACCATCTAGATTTTGTGAATTGTACTACTGTACATATTTCACCTGCACATCATCTCTCTCTCCCAGTGGAAAGCAGACCGAACACATCAATGACTGAGGGGTAGGCCGTTTGACTGGTTTCCTTTGAGTTTTTGAGTTTTTTGCTCTGTCCTTTCTGATATCGATCTACAAACACTATCTGAGACGCTCAATTTCGGTAAGTTTCTGTCCCTCTGAACTTCCCACCATGGCCAAACAAGTCGATCCAAGCTCTGGCTTTTGCTCTCAAACCAGAACATTCCACAGTCTTCGTCCTGACGTCCCTCTCCCTCCACCCTCTCAACCTCTTTCCATCACTGACTACGCTCTCTCTCTCATTCCTCCGACTGCTTCCTCCACCACAGTTCTCATCGATTCTGCCACCGACCGCCACATCTCCTACTCCCTCTTCCTTCACCAAATCAAAAACCTCGCCTCCTCTCTCGCTTCCCTCACCCCTCTTTCCAAAGGCCACGTCGCCTTCATTCTCTCTCCTGCTTCTCTTCACATCCCAGTTCTTTACTACTCCCTCTTGTCTTTAGGAGTCACCGTCTCACCCGCTAACCCTATCGGCTCTGATTCGGAGGTCGCTCACCAGGTTGAGCTCGCTCAACCTGTCATTGCATTTGCTACCTCCTCCACCGCTCACAAGATCCCTAAGCTCCGATACGGTACGGTCATAATCGACTCGCCTCAGTTCCTTTCCATGATCAATGGAACTTCCGGAAGTGGTAATGCTGATATCAGGGGCGACCGCAGAGTCATGATGAGCCAATCCGATCCGGCGGCGATTCTATTCTCATCTGGAACGACTGGAAGAGTGAAGGGCGTGTTATTGACCCATAGGAATTTGATTGCTCTAATTGGGGGATTTTACCACCTGAGGCATCTCATGGATTCGCAAGAGAATGAACCCGAGCCGGTGTCCCTATTCACGCTGCCGCTTTTCCACGTGTTTGGGTTTTTCATGCTGATTAGGGCGATGTCGATGGGGGAGACCCTGGTTTTGATGCAGAGGTTCGATTTCGAAGGCATGTTAAAGGCGGTAGAAAGGTACAAGATTACATACATGCCAGTTTCGCCGCCGCTCATTGTGGCGCTGGCCAAGTCGGAGTTAGTGAACAAGTATGACCTTAGCTCGCTGAGGTTGCTGGGGTGCGGCGGCGCGCCGCTTGGCAAGGAGGTGGCTGAGAACTTCACTGCCAGATTCCCCGATGTGGAAATAGTGCAGGTGAGTTATGCTAATCTGACCAACATTATTAATCGTTAATTCTCACCAAGAATGGAATACCATCCTATTCATTACCCATTCCGCTTTATTATTTATAAATTCTGATATTAGTAAGTGCTTGACATCCATTGCCTACTACAGGGCCGGAAAAACTTAAACAATTGGACTTGGATTTTCTCCCTGCAAAGGAGAGAAAATGAGATATCAGCACAAATTTGAACCCTTAAATTAGATTTGAAAATTTACATTTGATAATTTTAAAAAATACAGATTTAATTTAAACGGTTCAGATCTGCAATAAAGAGACAATGGAGAAAAAAAGCAGAAGAGAAAAACCCACTCCTAAACAATTAGTGCCATACTAGTTTCATAATGTAGTAGGTTCTTCGTCTTTTATCTCTCAATTAGGCCATTTATTTATGCGTCTTATTTCCTTCTTTAGTGTTGATTTGGTGATCGTGTTGAGATTAGGGGTATGGTCTGACTGAAAGTGGAGGAGGGGCAACGAGAATGATAGGGCCTGAAGAGGCTAAGCGTCATGGCTCTGTGGGTCGACTTGCAGAGAATATGGAAGCCAAGATTGTGGATCCTGTGACTGGAGAGTCATTACCTCCTGGCCAGAAAGGGGAACTGTGGTTGAAAGGTCCAACAATAATGAAAGGTGACCTATTATTTTCAGAGAATTGATGAACTGTGTTTTTGACCATTTGCACAAAAAGTTCTTTAAATCCTTAACCATCACTGATGCTTATTGTGGGAGTAGTGCAGGTTATGTAAGAAACGAGGAAGCAACGGCTGAGACATTGGATCCGGAGGGATGGCTCAAGACTGGAGATCTTTGTTATTTTGATTCTGATGGTTTCCTCTACATTGTGGACAGGCTCAAGGAATTGATCAAATACAAAGCATATCAGGTGATTTTTCTGTTGCTTTTCACGATTTTGCGACTATTATTTTAGCATTGCATTATGCTTAGAATGTCTGAAACGAATTGCAGGTTCCTCCAGCTGAACTTGAACATATACTTCACACCCACCCTGACATTGCTGATGCTGCTGTAGTTCCGTATGTATCTTGTGCTTTTATCTCCTCTTAAATTAGTTACCCTCTCGGTTGAAATTCTGGGAAATCATGAACATTTATGGGTTCATCTCCATGCTTAAAAGAAGAAAGCTTCCCCAGTTCCCATTTTTAAAGAAGTTTTACTAACCCTGCTGAAATCTGATTGGGTAGGTACCCTGATGAAGAGGCAGGGCAAATTCCAATGGCCTTTGTGGTAAGAAAGCCTGGAAAAAATATCAACGCAGATCAGGTTATGGATTTTGTGGCAAAGCAGGTGCGCGCGCGCGCGTACATGCATCTCAACGTTTATATTCTGGAATTTCAGATGCTCAAAGGCATACGGTTTCCAGTTTGTGATTTTGCTATGCCTTTGCTCTGAAAATTGAACACGTCTCGTTCTTGCAGGTTGCGCCATACAAGAAGATACGGCGTGTGGCTTTCATTAACGCTATTCCAAAGAACCCGGCTGGCAAAATTTTGAGAAGGGAATTAGTTGATTCTGCATTGTCAAGTGGTTCTTCCAAATTGTAGTCCAGATGGCTCAATTTCTTTATATGTTGATGTACCGTTGTTATAGTTTTCTTGAAATATCGGAATGTTTATTTAAAACTGAGAAGAGAATGTACAGATCTACATATTTCTTAGGTTGCATGTCTTGTAGTTGTATTCAAAGCGCTTCTATGATGAAGCGCTTTCAAGGCGAAGGACTCACGTCACAAGCGCACTGCTCCAGCCGAATACTCGAGAGCCTTGATGCTTTGTTTAAATAAATGCAATCCATGAAAATATATATATATATATATGTATGTATGTATGTATGTATGTATGTACGTATGTATGTACGTATGTATGTAGATGTATAACATCATTGAAGCAATCAGGAATATGTTGAATTGTTCTTAATTTCCCTTCGTTCTCATACATGTGAATGCTCAAAGATGAGGGAAGGTTGTGGAAATTGTCAAATGTCATTTTCGTATGATAAGCAAGCACTAACATCATCCATATAAAACATAAACAAGGTTCAATGATTCAATTTAGCTTTCAAGCAGCTGCTTAAGGGAAAAATTGACTTTCAAGTGTGTTATTTCACATGTTTATACTGAATAATATTTTGGTTGCCTTAAATTTGAAGGCAAACAATAGCAGTTTCAATGTAGTGTCATACATCTTTATAATTTATTATAAGATAAAAAAGTGGAGCTGCAAAATTGAAACTGAGTAGCATTTGCCCAATGAGAGAGCCCCCGGCAAAATCAGTTGCAAGCCGTTAGTTTCAAAGACCTAATATCACAGCATGCCTCTAATAGCCCTTGAAACTTGACCAAGTTTAAACAAACTTTAAAAAAAAAAAAAATCAAACAAGTTTAAGCAAACTTGTTTATACGTATCTCAGTATTGATCTTAGCGTCATCCTCCAACTAGCTCAAGCTTGTTACCATATTGCGTTTTCTCCAACCTTTTTGTCAAAAAAAGTTAGCAGCCAGACTCTGCAAATTCGTCAAAGTCAACGACTCTGATCTGATAAGCTTGAGTCCTTCTCAAGTTATTGTTCATGATATTAAAAAAGTATGTATATGAGGTAGCAAGTCTATTTTTTTACCTCACATAGCAAATCTATTATTGATATATGAAAATAGATTCTGGCTTGAAAGTCTATAGCAATCATTCTTGTAATTATGTGCTTATGTGTCAATGTAAAACGTTGATGAATTTATTTTTTATTACATACTCCATTTGTTCAAAAATATGAGGTATTTTTTGAAGAGTTGGATGTTAAAAAAATTTTGCCATTAATCTTTCGAGATGTAATCTATGTATTTTTTTCTAAAAGTGTCCCTATTGATAGTAACTTTATATTTATTGTAAGGTATTTAATATGGATAGATATGAAAAGATAGGTTAGTTAGAAAGTAAGTAACTATTTTATTGGAGGGTGAGATTAAATTAAAAATATTTTACATTTTTAAATGGAGAGAGTACATCCTAAATTCTCTTAGTTATTATCCTCTTATCATTAGCATTGATATTACTAATGAATAGTACTTACAAATCATCTATCAACAAAATTTTTATATTAATAACAAGATTTGATCTCATGATGTTATGGGTTATGATCAAATGCTTACTAATTGAACTAATATTTATTGGTAAAAAGGTTTATTTTTTAAACTGATATCAAAATTTCCCTTCCTATTAAATTCAAGAGGAGTACAAGTGTGGGGGGCCAAGCAAAGTCTTAAATCATAATTTATTATATCTTTAATATGCATAAATAAAAAATTTTAAAAAAAATAAATAGATTGTTATTTAAATTTTAATTTACAAAAAATTAAAAAATTTAAGTACATTAAAATAAATCATTTTTAAATTTTTTATATTATATTAAATTTTTACTTTTAAAATATATTCAAATATTCCCGTGCGTGGTGCGATGCATAAGGAATAAAATTAGTTTATTTGTATGCGTGGGAATTCAAATCCTCCTTCATGCATGTAGCATTACACCCAAATTCGAATTGATATTATCTTTCGAATAACTCAAATTAAGATCTTCATGTTCTTTGCTCAAAGGCAAAATGACAATCTCAAACAGCATTTTAGTAATTAGTCTGCTCGTGTGCATGTCTCTGAAGCTTCAAGGTTTGTCATCACCAGTCTATCATGTTCAAGTTGAAACAAGTCCTTATTTATCCGTTTGGTTGATTACCTTCTTTTTCAGTGCAATGTGCTGAGTTTAGTAGAGGATTGAGAAATGCCACAACAACCATTGATGAACTGAGTATTAGAAGATCACACTGTCCTGCTGATTTTGTCTTTGGCGGAGCCACTTCGGCTGCTCAAGTGCATATCATAAATACTCAACGTTCATAACTCAAACGTAAAATTTGGTAACAAGGGTAGATTTTTTTTTTTTTAATATGTGGATGCAGATCGAAGGAGCTGCTAATGAAGGAGAGAAGGGACCAAGCATCTAGGACTACTTTGTCAGAAAATTCCCAGGTAAACCAAGTTGATGTCTTAAAAATCAACGAACTTCCGAGTTTTTCACTTTTTCTGGTAGAAACATCATAAGGTGGCACTCTCGACAACAATAATGTAATATTTTGTATTTGCAGAGAGGATCCTGGACACAAGTACCAATAGTTGCGCTCTCAATCATTATCGGCGATACAAGGTTGAGCTTGAGCTGCTTTAAATGCCATTTAACATGATATACAGAGCATTAAATTTCCCTTGAACTTGAAATGATGAATTCTTTCAGGAGGACATAAAACTTAAGGATCTTGGTGTGGATAGCTACCGATTTTGCCTTTCCTGGACCAGGATTTTACCCACTAAGTTTCCTAGTCCAACTGTTATGATTGAAGTTTTTTTTCTTATTTTTCTTCGTACAGAGGGTTCATTTTGTGGAGGAATAAACCAAGAGGGCACCGATCGCTGTACCAATTTGATTGATGAATTGCTCAAAAGCGATAAGAAGCAATAATTTTTAAGGTAATAATTTTATCACAGCTGATATAGTGACTTGAATATTTGACCTTCTTTTTTTTTTTTTTTAGGGCTATGATCTAGGCATTAAACCTTTTGCCCCAAGTCTTGCAAGAGAAGTATGGAGGACCCTTGAACCACTCATTCATGTAAGCACATTATATGCAATTTCTTGTGAACATTCCATAAATTAGCACAAAGAGATTTAGGGACTTGGTGTTCATTTGTAGAGATGACTATAAGGACTATGCTGAACTGTGCTTCAAAATATATGGAGATAGAGTGAAGCATTGGTTTACAATAAATGAGCCATTCACGGTTGCTGCAGCAGGGCATGGTCTTGGTGCAGCTGCACCAGGAAGATGTTCATCTGGCCCTTTTGAATGCCATGCTGGTAACTCATCCACCGAACCTTATATTGTAGGCCACAACATTCTCCTTGCTCATGCTGCTGCTGTCAAGCTCTACAGAGACAAGTTTCAGGTGAAACACCACATTGATAATTAGCACCAATAAGCTAAACTCTCGCATGACTAAACATATATGAATTTGCTAGCAAAACAAGAAGGAGAAATCGGAATCTGTCATGCTGGACAGTATGCTGAGCCTTATTTAGAATCACAGGAGGATAAAGCGGCTAAAAGAGCAATGGACTTCAGCCTTGGATGGTTTGTCAGTGCTAGCTAAGTACACTTGTGAATAGCATCACTGTTACTGAAAAACACTTGATTCATCACTATCTGCTTTGATCAGGTTTATGGAGCCACTGGTATTAGGAGATTATACAAAAAGCATGAGAAGTTTGGTCAAAGGATAGGCTGCCCTATTTCACCCAAGAAAAGAATTTGGTTAAAGGGTCCTTTGATTTTATTGGAATCAATTACTATGCTTCAAGATATGTTAGAAGTGCCCGCCCTATCCAAAAGCACCACCACACTGCATGACTGACAGTTTAACTGAAGAACAAGGTAAATATTTTTTTCATAGGTGTTCTAGCTGCAAAGTATTTTGCTATATTAAGTGAAATATGGATAAAAATTGAAGCATGTCACCTAAAAGCACAACCCATATATTTACATTTGTATGTTCATGAATAGTTTGGTATCCAAATCTTTTGAAACCAAATTCACCTTAAAATGTTGCTATTATAGTTTCATTGAATTTCTGTATACAATTTGACTTTTTCCCCCTTTTCGGCAGTGGAGGAGAATGGAGTTCCTATTGGCCCTCATGTAAGAAGTTACATGCACAAATTGCAAAACTCCGAATCCGATAATAAAGAAAGCAAACTTTTCTGTTATTAACAAACAGTCTTGTTTCCTCTTTACTCTGTGGGCGGAAGGAAGCATGTTCATAGATATCTATCCGATGGGGCTAGAAAAGCTATTGAATTTCATGAAGGACAAGTATAATAGTCCTGAATAAAGAAAAAAGAGAAGCTCTCTCATGCAATCTGTTCAGTCTATGGATATACAATATATATACAAGAGTATCGTATCTCTAAACTATCATATCTACAGGATCTGAGATTACGAGAATCAAATAGCACGAGATCACGGATGCTGATATATTGTCTTCCAATATAGCGTAACTCACGCCAAAACTAACGTGCATGCATGATTTGCATGATAATGGGACACGTCATTCTTTCATTCTTTCTTTACTGAAATCTACATTTCTGAAAATGGTGGGTCTGATCTTTCACTCTTTCTGCACGGTCTTCTTCTTCATTCTTCCATGAAGCATGATCCATCCCTGATCTTTTTACACTTTTTCGGGCTTTTGATTCAGGAATCACTGGGGCAAACGCAGAGAATGTTGAACTGGAAGAAGCTCTGGGGGATGCACACAGAATCAGCAACATTCTTAGGCATCTATATAGGATTCACAATGCAATCAGGTAAGGATCTGGTCTCCTTCCAATATTCTCTCTCGAGTCTGGAAAAAGTGTTGTGGTTTGGGTTTTTGTGTGTAAATTTGGGCAGGAATGGAGTGAAGGTGAAGGGATACATGTACTGGACTGTGTTTGATGACTTTGAATGGGGAGAAGGTTATGTTCCAAGATACGGACTTTACTGTATAGATTTCCAGAACGATCTTAAGCGCATTCCCAAACTCCCAGTACAGTGGTACCGCAACTTCCTAACAGGATCACATCCTCAGTCTTATTCCATCCAACTTTGTTTCCATTAGGGCATGAATTTGTGTATGCATGCTTAAGTTAAGTGGAAAGGCAAGGCTAGTGGCAGATCCCATGTCTTAAAGAAAATATGAGGGTGTTTTTCAGTCTCATGTTCTGCAATTAATTAGACTATAATCCCTCTCTAAAAAAAATGTAAGGTATTTTTTTGAGAAGTTGAATATTTAAAAAAGTAAACTATTTTTAATTTTTTAAAGTGTAATCATGACTTTTTTTTCTAAAAATACCTCTATTGATAATGACTTTATATTTATTATAGGGTGTTTAATAAGGATAAATATAAAAAGATAGGATTAATTTGAAAATAGATAACTACTTTATTGAGGGTGAAATTCGATTAAAAATGTCTTATATTTTTTAATGAAAATAGTATTATTTTACATTGAGTGTACAAAAATACTTCAAGATATTAAATGATTTGCGTGGATGATAAAGTATGAAATATATGTTTAAATTTTAAATATGCCAAATTTGAAAATTTACTTTTAAAATTACAAGAAGAGTTGTACCCGTTACTATAATTGAAGAGTTAAAAGAATTAAAACTTCACGACAGATATTTTTTTTTTTAAGTTCCCCTTATCTTTTTACATAAAAAATAGCAATTAAGCCTTTGATTTATTAGAAATTTAGAACCTTACAAAAGTCCATTATGTCTATTGTCTAAATGTAATTTTCTTGAAATTACTAAAATGCTCATATCATCAGAAGGAAGATGCATAATTTTATACAAATGATGGAACAAAGTTATTTATAATGATCTATATTTTTACGATCATTTTTTAAATAAAACATGATAATTATTAATTATACATTTTGATTAATTTTTTGAAATTACTAAAGCATGTTTCACAATTCACATGATCACAGAAGCTTGAAAGGAAAATGGCATTGAGGACTTTTAAGAATATTAATTACAATTAAGAATAGAAAATTTAAAAAATTCCTTAATTGTTTAATAATAATATTTAATTTCTGCATATTTCATCTTCAATATTCTTAGCACCAAGGAAAAACGAAATTGAGTTCTTAAAACATAGATAAAACAAGTACCGGAAAAAAAAAAAGGAAAACTGACTACTAAAACAAATGAAAATTTGTAATCCTTAATTATAATTAATGAATCATTTCCCCTTGAAGGCAGAGTCACAAGAGTCCGTTTGGGTACATTGCTTTTAACTTTTGAAAAGTATATTTTTACTTTTTAAATGTTGAATATTATTTGAAAATTTTATATTTAACCAAACTGACTAAATTCACACTTAACGGCCTATTAAAAATGGATTTGGAAACTTGTCACGAGAAAGCTTTTGAAACGTAGCTTTTAAAATGTTAATGGCCCAACACATGTGGCATATGATGGGTGGTTCATGTGGTTTTTAAATATATATGTGTGTGTGTGGAAAAAAAAAAATTCTTCTGAATGAGGAGGAAATGCTCTGAATTACCAATTTTTTTTAAGAAATTTGATAAGAAATATTTATAAAAATTACTTTTAGACATACAAATTAATTGGAAAAATTTTTGTGATAAATTTCGAATATAATTATAAAATAATAATAATCTTTTTCAATATATTTAACTTTATATTTTTATTATTATTATTTAAGATATTAAATTTTATATTATTTAAAATTTTTAACACATTTGTAAAACTCTCTAATATATTACATTATATAATAAAAAATTATAAATCATTATAAATCAATATTATTTTTTAATAATTATATATTTAAAAATATATTTTATTATTATAATAACTCAAATAACTTTCAGTTTATTAAATTAATATTTAAAAAATATTTAAATATAAATTTTTTATAATATTTTATTTTTATTAAACTAACTTTTATCAAATGAGAAACCAAACACGCCTTAGATCTCATGGTTGAGCTCTTGTGGGCAGTATCTCAGCATAGAGAATTAGATTCTGTCTCTCCTTTTTTTTTTTTTGGGGTAAATATAGAGAACTAGATTCTGCTTTCGAGTAAGATTAAAGTCAGGAATCAACATGTCATCTTCCTTTCCCCTCTCTAGTAATCAGTTTTGATACATTCTCATGCCTATTGAAAAGTGATGTCGATGGTGATGGATAAGGATGAAAGCTATTATAACTCAAATATATTCGAAAACATATTTTAATATTATAACTCAAATAATTTTTAATTTATCAAATTAATATTTTAAAAAATATTTAAATATAAATTTGATTACAATAATTTATTTTTATTAAATTAATTTTTATCAAATAAAAAACTAAACACACCCTAGATTCCATGGCTGTGCTCAGGGGGGCGGTATCTCAGCACAGAGAACTTGATTCTCTCTCTCCCTTTTAAGGGGGGTAAACATGGAGAACTACTGCTTCCGAGTAAGATTAAAGTCGGGAATCAACATCTCATCCTCCTTTCCCCTCTCCGGTAATCAGTTCTGATACATTCTCGTGGCTATCGAAGAGTGTCGTCGGTAGCGATGGCTAAGGATGAAAGCTACTCCGTCGTTTCTGATCTGATCAGTTTCCTCAATGCTTCTCCTACTGCCTTCCACGCCGTTGGTAAAACTTTCTTCTCCCCCCTTATCTTTCTTTGTGTTCGTTTCATTTGTTTTAATCTTACAGTATTTGATTTATTGGGATTCCTTTATGTTTTAGATGAGGCGAAGAAAAGGTTGCAAAGCGCTGGCTATGAGCAACTTTCAGAGAGAGATGACTGGAAATTGGCAGCTGGCAAAAAATACTTCTTCACAAGGAATTACTCAACTATGGTCGCTTTTGCCGTTGGTAAAAAGTATGATTCTTGCAGCTTTGTGTTTTAAGGTCTTGGTTTCGCTGTTTCACTCGTTCCTTTATTCTTACTTGTTCAAACTTAGGTCAGCTACCAAAAAAATAGAGAAATGTTTCATAAATATCGTATTTTGAATTTAAAGTTCATCTTTAAAACTAGTATCTTATCACATAACTCATGATGGATCATACTTATTCCTTTTTGAGTCTGTGCTGTTTCATCTAAAGAAAATGAAAGAGTTCATAATTCCATAGATGTAATATTATGATTTTTTTATGACTATCCTTTGTAAGACCTTTGTAAGATAATGTTTAATGATCGTATTACTTTTTGTAGTTCCTAGTCCTATCTATTCATCGTACATGCTCAACTTTTTTGCTCAGATATGTTCCTGGAAATGGATTCCAAATTATTGGTGCTCATACTGATAGTCCTTGTCTGAAACTGAAGCCTACTACCAAGGTAAATTGGATTAGTTTTAGTAAATTCGTGAGCCAGGTGACTAATTTTTTGTGGAATTGTTGGATTTGGCATTTATTATCTGGGCAGGTGGTTAAAGGTGGATATTTGGAGGTTGGAGTCCAAACATACGGGGGTGGCTTGTGGCATACATGGTTTGATCGGGACTTAACAATCGCTGGGAGGGTTATTATACGACAAGAAAAAGAAGGTTTTGCTTCGTATTTGCATCAACTTGTTAGGATTGAGGAACCAATAATGCGGATCCCAACTTTGGCAATTCACTTAGACAGGTCACCTTGTTTTTGATATGGATCTTGCCTGCCTGTTTAATTAACATCTTTCTCCTTAAAAAAAAAAAATAATAAATAAACTGTGGCCTTTCGACAGGAATGTTAATGATGGATTTAAAGCAAATGCACAGAGTCATCTTGTTCCTATCTTGGCGACAATGGTAAAGGTAATCCGGAAATTAAAGTTGACTTATTCTTCTCCACTGGTTGTTTGTACCTATGGCGTTGGTGATTTGGTCATACTTCAAAGGTAGCAATCTATGGAAATAATGTTGATTGGAAATGTCTTGGTTTCAATGCATCAAGTCAGAGATGAAATGCCTTTCTTATATTTTTGTTTGTTTGTTTTCTTTTGAAATTACTTTGCCAGTTATTCATATAATTGCATGTGATCTTGAAGTTCAATTATTGGATGAATATGCCCATTTTGTTTTGTGCAAAGTTGGGTTCTTTACTTAGTTGATGTCTACCAGTTTTTATGTTGCTATCACAGTTGTATTTTGATGCAATAGTTTTGTGCAGATATGCATTGGGAGTTTGGGAATTTTATGTATAGCTGAAATTTCCGGAAATGTTGCCTTTTCAAATGGGTTTTTTTGGTTATTGAATTTAGCTTTTTATATATCAAGTGAGGTATATCTTGCAGGCAGAGCTCAATAAAGCTGCTGATAACGAGTCAATTGAAAATGGACTGCAAAATGATGGAAAGAAGGAAAATGACAAAACAGGGAGTAAAAATACAAAGCACCACTCGCTTCTGCTTCAGGTTATTGGCCTGAAAATTAGCTGTACCTTCTTTCTTGTAGTTGTGGCATCTTGAGCTAGAACTGGACGCGCACATTGAATTATTGGGGGTTTAACTGTTTCTGAGTGTCTTGTTGCTCTCTTTTTCCAGTTGCTTGCCAGCAAGCTTGGGTGTAAACCAGATGACATATGTGATTTTGAATTGCAAGCCTGTGATACTCAACCAAGTATGGTTGCTGGAGCTGCCAAGGAATTCATATTTTCAGGACGGCTTGATAACCTCTGCATGTCATTTTGCTCATTGAAGGTTTAAGATTTATGTTGTTTATATAGTCAAATTTCAAATGGACATGCTTACATATGAGCTTTCAGCCATCATATTGATTTAGAGGTTTCCATTTTAAACACTCCTTGCTTAATGCGATTAGGTTGTACGATGTCACTGCAAATGAATGTGCGTGCGTGTGGACTAACACCAGCAGTATACAATAGACATAACATTTAATGAACAAGCTACAGAGCTAACAGCATTCCCTATTTCAGACACTGATAGAGCAGAAACAGAACACCTACTCTGAATACAAACTAAGAATAGAGGCTGAAAGTCTCTCCCAAGGAAAACTCATCCCTAAATGATTTCTTAGTCCTCCTCCCTCATATTTGGAGTTTGAGACTATCTTTTTATGGTTGTATGCTTAGAATGTTGATAGTGCAGGGTGAGGGTAAAACTCAAAATGAAAACTGTATTGCAGTTGTTGATTATCCTATCTAACATCATATGGTCAATTTCAGGCACTGATAGACTCTACATCCTCTGACAGAAGTCTAGAGGAAGAGACTGGTGTTAGAATGGTAGCTTTGTTTGACCATGAGGAATGTGGATCCAATTCTGCACAAGGAGCTGGCTCTCCTGTTATGCTGAATGCCGTATCTAGGGTGACAAGTTCCTTCAGCTCAGATTCCAAGGTAGAAACTTACACACACACACACACACACACATTAATTTTAATGCTCAAGGGTTATATAATGTTTTCTTCTGCTTACTATTTGCTGTGGTTGAGAAACTGCTTTATTGGTTTGGCTGCATTCTGTCTCCAATTTATGCACATAGCGGAATCCTTTATTACATGCAAAGATGCTTCTCTAGCTGTTAGGTTGGGGCTGCCCTATAATGATTGTGGCTATGATTATTCCAGCATCTTTAATACATTAAAGCCCCAATACATACGTAGTCGCGCACAAGAAGCAGACTTGAGAGATGTTTAATTCTAAAATGACCCCTTGTGATTAATTAGCTTTCAGTATGTTAATTCGTTTCTTTCAATGGTAATTGCATTCTAGCTGATTGATAGAGTTGTACAAAGAAGCTTCCTCGTGTCTGCTGATATGGCGCATGCACTGCATCCTAATTATATGGTACGCTGTTCATTATAGTGATTTGTCCTTACAAGATTTACAAGTTGTGGCTCCACACTCAGACAGAATTCCTTGCAGGACAAACACGAAGACAACCATCAGCCTAAACTACATGGAGGACTTGTCATCAAACATAATGCAAATCAACGCTATGCAACCAATGCAGTCACTGCCTTCTTATTCAGGGAGGTAGCAACAAAACATAACATTCCTGTTCAGGTCAGTTCGGTGATAAATTCGTTTTCTCAATTTCACTCTTCGGAAGAGCATGAGAAAGTAACTCTTCATTTGTAGTCTTGATATTTAATTAAACAAACAGAAGTATTGCCTTTTTAGAGATGACAATTGTGATTGTGTGATCAAGTTTGACGAGAAATGTCAATGTAGGACTTTGTGGTGCGCAATGACATGCCTTGTGGTTCGACCATCGGTCCAATCCTTGCCAGTGGTGTCGGTATTCGCACGGTTGATGTTGGCGCTCCTCAGTTGTCAATGCATAGTATACGAGAAATGTGTGCTGTTGATGATGTGAAGCACTCATATGAGCATTTCAAGGCTTTTTTCCAAGAAATCTCTCATCTCGATGCCAAGATTGATGTAGATTTATAGGTTTTCCAACGGATTGCATGCGAAACTGTTGCTCACGATGTTGTAACCGAACTAATTATGATGATAAAATCCTGATATGGTTACGTGGATAATAATATTTCTTTTGGGGTGAGATCGGACTTCACAAATGCAAGGGTCATCGGTTCTTTCTATATTTTTATAGACAAGACAATGAAACAAAAAGGAAAGTGGTATGATAAATGAGTTTGTAAATAAAAATAGTTATTGTTAAGCAATGTTAAGAGACATGATAAATATAGAAGATGATGATTGATGACTTTATTTTTTGACCGAAGTCGATTGATGACTTGAAATGTCCACATTGATGCCTATAATGGAAACGCATTCAAAGGAGAAATGCATCTAATTATGTTGAGATTTAGCCTAGTCTGTTGTTTGTCGTTTGTTTTACTTTGTCTGAATGAAATTCAATCTACCTGTCGTTTGAAGGTGCTAGCAAGGTCTAATGCCAAGGCTTATGATCTCTCATTACACATCAAATAACAGATACGTCTTTCATTCAAAGTAATCTCTAATACAACCTTATTCTGCAACAAGACCCATGAAGAGATAAAAAGACATAACAGTAAGCAGTTCCACATGACAGTCCAAATCAATAAAAACACTAGTCCATTGTAAAACGACTAAACTCACATCCTAGATGGTGATCCCCCTGGATGATGCACAACAAGATGGTTATAAGCATCCAAAGTCAGAAAATCATCTAGTGTTGGGGCTGTGCATTGTCTTGTAAAGATCTTGCAAGCTTCCTTATACATTCCCTTGTTGAACGTCTCCTTGCCCACTTCCTTCTCAATCTTGCCCATCTCCTCTTCAACCACTCTCCCAAAAAGCTCTTTATTCACTCTAACCCCAAGTCCATCGCCATTCAATTCCACTTCATACTTGAGCCATGCCAATTCTGTACCCTGCTAATCTCAGCAGTGGCTGCATCTTCCATGAGGTTGTAAAGAGGCACTGAACCACTTCCTGTGAGCCATGCAGCCACATACTGAATTCCCACCCTTGTATTCAGACGAAGGCCTTCCATTGTACGAACTCCTACAGGCCTTTGCAAGAGATCTTGCTCTGTTATGTTTGCAGCATCATGACGTTTCTTTGTGTGAATCTGATTTCGATCGTTGCCCATGTGGTTGTTGAAGATTTCCATGCACGCTGGGATCAGACCAGGGTGTGCTGCCCAGGTCCCATCATGCCCTGCCTTCACTTCTCTTAGCTTGTCCTTCCTCACCAGTTCTAGCGCTGCCTGATTCGCCACAGGGTCATCCCTTATTGGAATTTGAGCTGCCTGTTCAACAAAAGTTTCAAGTATCATCTGAATTTGTTACCAGTCCTCATTTATCAATGATACATTTGAGGTTTCAGGTTTGAAATATCCGAAATTTTATCATCTGTTGCGTCCTCCTCCTTTCCCCAAATTCAGTCACGCCTTCTAAGCATTTTCAAATAATTCAAAATATTTGACATTGTTTAGTTATCACCCAGGATTTTCGTTGAAAACTACCTTGCTGCTAAAGTTTAAGTTACTGAATGAATGCAGATAAATAGTTTTAGTGAGCGTTTAGGGGCACGTTGGTGCGTTCCTAAACTGAGCAACCTGTTTCTCATTTAAAGCTAAGCGTGATACGAAACATACCATTTGTTTCTAACATCTCGTCACATGAAATATCTTATTGTCTGTTTATGCATAAGGCAAAAGTAGTGAGGAAATACTTGTGCAAGGTAACAAAGATACATAACAGTTTAACCAAAAGGTATAGAACCTGACTGACACTATCTATTTGTCACCAAATATGATCATCAAAAACCAACTTGTTCCTAGAGCTCAGTTACTGAAATGAATGTTAACAAATAGTTTTAGTACGTAGGAAATACTTGTTCAAGCACATTCATGAACCACTTTTACTTAACCAAAAAAGGAGATGCTTACCATGCCTCCCATGGCATGTACACCACGTCTATGGCAGGTCCTGATGAGAAGATCAGAGTAGCTCTGCATGAAGTGTTGGGTCATGCCAACCTGAACTCTATCAGGAAGGAGGCGATCTGGGTGGGCCTGGAATGTCTTCACATAACTAAATATGTAATCCCACCTTCCACAGTTGAGACCCACAGAATGGTCCCTCAGTTCATACAGAATCTCATTCATTTGAAACACTGCTGGAAGCGTTTCTATCAGAGCTGTTGCCCTGATGCTTCCTCTTTCAATCCCTGCTTTCTTCTCTGCCCTCTCAAACACACTCTTCCATATCTTAGCTTCCCTGTCACATCACAGCCACCTTTTCTTGGTTAATCCATTTTCTACCCTTCCCAGCCACCATTTTAGCTAACCCTAATGAAGCTGTTATGATGAATGCTTACCTTGAATGTTCCATTTTAGGAAGATAAAAGAAGGGGCCAAAGCCGGCGCCTTGGGTTCGCCGGAACGTGGCGTAGTTGTGGTAAAAGTAGAGCCCAAAATCCACCAGGCAACCAGTTGCAGGTTCGCCATCAATGAAAATATGAGCCTCAGGTAGATGCCAACCTCTTGGCCGTACAAAGAGCTTCGCCGTCTGCTCATTGAGCTTGTAAAGCCTATTTCTGGCTTTGTCATGGAAGCTTATTCTTCCCTCCACTGCATCCTTCAAGTTCACTTGCCCTCTCATCAGATTCTCCCAGCTCGGTGACAGTGCATCTTCAAAATCAGCCTTCAAAAACAAAATCATCTACTTTAAGTTCCTACTCTGCAGATAACAAAGTTGTGTCCAAACTTTCACATAACACGCAGTTATGAATGGTATAAACTGAGACGAAGGACTAACCATGAAGACTTTGGCGCCAGAGTTGAGAGCATTGATGATCAACTTTCGCTCCACAGGACCTGTAATCTCCACCTTCCTATCAGCCACAGAAGGTGGAGAGCTGCACATACCCACTCTCGTTCACGTATGTGGTAAGTTGCCGGATCAAACCCAGGCAGGGCTCCTTCATTGTACCTCCTCTTTGCTTCTTTTCTGCACCCTAACGCGTACTTTATATGGTTCCTGAACTCGCGTTGTAGCTCAGCCACGAACACCAGAGCATCCTTGGTTAGGATTTTTGCGAACTCTTCATCGTATCTTCCTCTCACGTCCACTCCTTCTGGCAAGTCGTAGTACGACAGCGTCTTCTTCTTTTCTGTTGCTGTAGGATACCCATAGGTTCCGAGGTCCATCTGCTTAGCTTTCTCTTCCTCCAAAGCTATTCTTCTCCTTCTGGCATGATTATGACTGCTTTTTGTTGAGAAAGGCCATGGCCTATGGGTGAGTTTTATGCAGCATCAGGAAGCGGACGCAAGTGGGATATTGGCACACTATATTTTCTTTCTATTTCTCAATTTTTTTTCAAATAAATGCTTTTTTTTTTTTCAATTTGATCTCGTGTCGTGATTATTCGGATTAGGATGCCCTGTTGCCTTGAGTTGCAACAAGATTAGAGGCTCTGCTACAAAGCATCATATTTGAATTGTCCGGATCAAATTTGAAATTTAAATTTTCTATATATAATTTTAAGAAAAATAACTTTATTACTTCGGGAGAAAAAGTATGCAAAATCAAAATGATATTCTAACTGAGCTTTAACAAGATAATCGGTTATTTTTTTTTAAAAAAAAAAGATAGAGTTTGAACAGCCTTGACTGTCCAAGTGGTGCTGTGGAAACACCATTGTACCGTTGTTTCAGCAATTCAATTCGTACCGTAATTTCTTTTTTTTGGCCTATGCTAAATTATTATTGAAATACTTGTAATAGTTCATTTCACATCCCACCTTTAGAGACATTCAAGACTGAATATCAAACCATGAACTTTGTTTTGGCCCAACCAAAAAAAAAAATAAAAAAGGCCATGGACTTTGGCATTATTTGCCGCTCATGTGAGATAGATTTAACTGAGGTGTTAAGGCTGGTATTAAGTTTTAAATGAAGAGAATTATATTGAAATCTCACAAAAAAAATTAATTATTATAAAATTTATTAATAATTAAAGTAAGGCTATTTATAATAAATTGTGTTATAAATGATTTTACTTAAGTTGTTAATAATCTGATAGTAATTAATTTTGTTGTATGAACCTATACGTAATTCCTTCTTTTAAATAGGCAAAAACTCAAATACTTGCATTTTAAGTAATGGTTCGAATTTTTGTAATTAATAAAAAAAATGATGACGGAATTTTTTTATATCAAGAATATTTTGGGCGACAATAATGAAATGAAAATGTGGACAGGTACACTGAATGCAGCGAATATGGGTCATTTTGATGAGTGCATGGCCTCACGTTACGTGCGTTAAGAGGCTCAAATGGGACGGAAAAGATGAGCAAAATATTAATTTAATTAATATTAGAGGATAAGAAAGTAGACGATGCAAGTGTTATTAATTTCTGTGCCTTCCTCGGGAGATGCGTCTGTTTGGATGAGGGTGGAAGATTGATTGCCTGTGCCACTGCTATTGATGTCGTTCTCATTATCCTTTTCCTTTTCCATCAAAATTTTGTTCTTACCAACAATTTAAAAAATCATCAGATAGTGTTATGGTTTAGGCATTTCCGGACAACTGACCTAATCATGAAACAATGCAGCACAGATATTGGGATATAATATACAGAATATCATTCCCATATTTCAGGATTCTCTCCATAATATCATCAATGGAAGCCCCTAATACCATTGCATATAGAAAAAGTTCGTAAGCTCAGCAGCTTGTGCACCCGAGTAATGAACCAAGACACCAGGTAGTTTCCTTGTTACAAACGATAAAACAGATATAGGCAGAACTTACTACACTTATCTGACGTTATGTTACTGATCATGATTCATGTGAAAAGCAATTATTTTACACGTTGCAATGACGTAGATGCTAAGCTCCAAATCCTAAAAGAACGGAAGGAAACACAACTAATGAAGAAAGCAAGAGAAGACAGGCTATACTTCAGTCTACGTTTATCACAAAACCTGGAATTGATGAAGGATCAAGCTCCCAACATCCTTTGAGATGAATGCCGCCATCTCCAGTGTGCTTAAAAGCAGGAATCTGGTGAGAAAATCTATAAGCATCCACCCGCGGTATATTAATGATAACATTTTTAGATCTCTGAATTCTAGGCACCTTGTAAATTGGCCTAGAGTTGTCATGACGAACCAGAACCACAACTTTTGAACTCTCATCATCGTCTTCCAACACTTCCACTATGTGACAATCACCTCTCACCTGACTTGAACAAGTTGATCCACGATGCTGGTTCTTGTATAACGCCCATATCTCACCTTTCCTTGGATAAATTTCATATCTGTTATCTTCCCCAGGTTCAACTCTTAACTGATGAGAGAAAGTAGAAAGGGAAACGACATGGGTTTTAGCATTTTTAACCATAAAGGTACCACAAGCTCCCACGCCAGTTATGCGTGAACAGGGTTCAAGGAAGGCCACATGCAATCTAAAATCAGGGGCAAAATCAATCTTCTTAATTTGCACATAAATATCAGGCACCCGATCCTTATCACTATATAATGCCCATATCTGACCACGCTGAAACATTTCTTCAGATTTTACCATATATTGTGATGCTTTTGGAACTCTAAATCTTCTGTGAAACGTCTGTAAACACCTCCAAAAGACTCAGAAAATCTGCTATCCAACTTTTTGTTTGCATCTGAATGTTCGCCGCTTACCTTGCCAGTCATGCATTGATTAGCATCTACTTGGGCTTTTTTCTTGCTTAAATCTCTAGGTGATCTTTTCACATTCGAACCTTCTCTTCCACAATCATTTTTATCATGTTTCTTTGGCGTTTTGACCCTCTCATCAGCCTGATCTTCAACAGCAATTCCGTCAGGTTGACTGAAGTCCTTGCAACCTACATATTTGCTACCATCCTCTCTTGTCATATGTTGACTTTCATTTACTCGACCATGTTCCATACTTCTGCTTTTTAATCCCCTTAGTGATCTTCTAAGTATTGAGGAAGCTTTTTCAACATCGTCTGTCTTGTGCACCTTCCCCTCATGACTAGGCTCATCAGTTCCACCACGTTGACTGAAGTCCGTGCAGCCCATGTCTTTGCTACCATTCTCTTTTGTCACATGCTGACTTCTATTAAGTTGGCCATTATTCATATCTTTTCTGTTCAACCCCCTTGGCGACCTTCTAAGTATTGAGGAAGCTCTTTCAACGTCATTACTACTATTTACCTTTGCCTCATGACCACTCTCTTTAGGCATCACATTTTCCACTTTTTGTTCAGGGGATTTGTGGCACGAACTTTTGACCCCAGCATCTAACATTTCATCTCCCATATCCACATCACCAGCATTACCAACTCCGAAAAGATCAACAGGCAAACCAGCAGGATCAAGTTCAAAAGATCCACAAGGAATGCCTTCTCTTTCATCACCAGTCATCTTAAATGAAGGAACTCGATGTGAGAACCTATAGAGCTCATTAGGTGGAACACAAAATAAGCTAAGTCCATTGTGCTCAGTTTGCTGAAAGAGGCTAACAAAGCCTTCCAACTTGCCAAGGTATACAACTTCAATGCCAATATTCTCAGTAAAATCTGACAGGATTTCCACATATTCATATTCGTACTTACAATACTTTTCTGGATTAGAACTCCATTTTATATCCCAATCTTTAAATATTGCCCATGTTTCCCCTTTATGAGGATATACCATATAACATCTTCTGCCAATTCCCTTAATATTATGCATCTGATGAGAGAACATAGCACGGTCTTCAATTTCTTGAGTGTCACCTAGCCTGAACTTGCCACAACCAACAGGCAATTCTGCATCTTGCCAATCAATCTCACCTTCATCATCTGGGTCAGCCTCCAACCAAGTAATTAGCAACTTGAATCCAGGAGACAGCACTTTCTTCACACGAGCATAGTATCTTGGCATGCTATCACTTGGATCATAAATGGCCCAGAACTGATCTTTAGCAAAACAATTATCCGCTCTATCCTTCTCAAAATCACTGAAATCTGGATCAGGACAATTGATGATATCTGGAATAGAAGGGACGCCTGAATTAAATGGAGGATAATGATCGGCTTTTGAGTTTGCATCGTCAACACTTGACTTAGATGGCTCCTCTCTATGCACATGAGATTGCTCAATTTTGCTTCTCTTCTGTAACAATGTTTCTTCAGGAAGACCACTTGCTTTGTTGCTCTTCTCTCCACTCTCACCACCCAGACCAGATGCAGAACTAGCTGAACAGTTGTGTGTAGAAAACCCACCACTTGCAGGTACTTCCCTTTTCTCCATTCCTATGGTGCTAAATGATCCATTTTGTCGACGCCTTTTAGGATTGTCAAAATCATCATCACAGGAGGTTTCCGAGTAAGAAACATCCTTCTTTTGCCTGGAAGATCTCCTAGACTGTGCTGTTACTTTAGGTCCAGAAGGATCAATACCACTTCCTTGAACATTGGCATCTTCAACACCGTTACCATTCTCAGTCTTGCAACTCTCTCCAGGATTGTCCTTCTTACTTTCAATATGAGTTGGCGAATAAGACCCCCTGGCCTTGGATGAAGCAAATTTGGATTTTCTAACATCTACATTTGCCCTTCCAGCAATCCCATTGCCATCTTCACTCTTTTCACCTTTACAGTGCCCATCAACTCCATATGCACGTTTTGTCGTGGATTCAGAATTTGGATGTTCTTTCTGATCTGATGTCCACTTGTATCCAGGTGGTCCCTGCTGAAATTCCAACTCACGAGCTATAAAGGGTCTAGAACACTGGTGACAGCGTAAGGTTGCATTTAAAACAGTTCTGTAGTATTCATATCTAGTTTTACAATGATTACAAGATGTCCAGAAAGTTTGCAGAACAGCCTGCTGATAGGAACCCCAACTTGAAGGATGTGAATAATTCCGATAATTTCTTGCTTGTTCATCATGTTTCTGGGCAAATACACTCCCATTTGAATGATAAGATGAGGGCTTAGATGATGCAGCTCTCATGAAGGCTCTATACTTCATGTCATACGATTTCCGCTTGTCTTGGTCATTTAACAACCTATTTGCCTCTCCAATCAACTTGAATGCAGCCTCTGCACCTGAAAACTTATTTTTATCAGGATGAAGTAGCAAGGCAAGCTTCCTGAACTGTTTCTTTATGGTTGCTTCATCTGCCAGTTGTTCAGTTTGAAGAATTCCATACCAATCCATTTCAGATCCAGAAAGTTTCTTCTGTGCAGCACAGTGAACCTCACAAACTGTAAGGATATGAACAATGTTCTCAATTTCAGGAAACAGTTTTTGGGCCCTTGTAGCACACTTCAGTGCCCCTACAAAGTCACCACTTTGCATTCTACTTTCTGCAATTTTCTTAGCCCTTAGAGCCTCTTCCTTGTTGCACTCCATGGTTGACTTGAAATCAAAACCCAGTTACCTTGTTATCAGTATGGGTATCACAACATTTTATGTCTGTTCAGATTCCACGAGCATAGTAAAATCTTCACCTGCTTGAAACAAGAAAGCAATATTGATAAAGTCAAACTGCCAATCAAGCATTCCCCAAGCCATAAGTACTTGTATGAAAAATAAAAACTAGATATGAGCAAGCTTCATGCATTTGAAAGAGAACCCAGTAGAGACTAACCTTGAAGAAAGTGAGATAAATACTTGCATGAAAAACAAAAAACAAAAAACAAAAAAAAAAACTAGATATAAGCATCCTACATGCATTTGAAAGAGAACCCAGCAGAGACTAGCCTTGACGAAACTGAGGAGATTCCAAGGCAGATGCAAACGAGCAACTGAGACAATCTATTAGTGAGAAGATTCAGAAGTCAGGGCAACATAGTTAAAAGCAACGTCAAAACCTAGATTTGAATTCTACTAACAAATTCACCATGCTAGGATGACCTCTCTAAAACTTGCATTCAGGAAAGTAGACAAATGTTTTGCCTTATATTGCATAGTGTAAAGAACAGATAAGGATATTTAAAATTGGAGAGAAACAAAACAAACAAATAAATTAAATAAATAAAGCATATCAAGAGAATCTACAATTTAGGTGAAGGTAAGCAGAACAACAGCATGCAAACGTGGCAGGAAATATGTGACAAAAAGGAGGACAAACAACAACCAAGTATTAAGCATAAACAAATTTTTTCATAGATATCATTAAAACAAATTTAAGGATAACCATAAAGTCTTCATCTTACTTCTTTGCATTCATTTCGTCAGTAATTATCTAATCTCCCCACTTCTAAATGGCATACCCTAGAGTTCAAGCTTCAAGCACTCAGCCCACATTTCACTGACCTCGTAAAATTTACTTCAGCAAATACAATTGTAAATAGCATACAAACTAAGCACTTTTTTATGAAAAAATAATGAAGCAGGAGAAGAGCGTGATATGTAAAATCCTAACTTGTAATTTAAGGATAAAATTCTCATTGTACAAGTTGCTACAGTAAGGTTGATGATTTGATGCTTGTATAGTTAATAAAGGGAAGCAAACATATGCTTGGCATAATGTTATAATTGAGTCAAACGGAATTTTTTTTTCTTTGAATTACAGAGAAATAACAATAGAAGCACGTCAAGAGATCCATTTAAATCATAGTAATTCACATGAAATTCCTACACGAGACCAAAGGCGCTTGCTATAAAAATCCAAATTAGGTTAGTCCATTAGCCCTAGAAACCAAATCCTAGAAATTCAGATAAGATTTACATGATATTTTTCTAACAGCAAAACAGTTTCCACACGCAACTTTTCACCAGCAAACAACCCATTCAAAGTCTCAAACGGAAACGCCGAAATACAAGAAGCAAATTCAGGGCGTGCAAGCACTCAACAAGTAATTATTGAATCAAGAGACAGGAGAAGAACGAGCAAAACCCAACAAGTTCAGCTCATATCTTGCAAACCCTAGCGCCACTGTCAAGTGTCAACTTCCATTAAATTTACCCATCAAATGCTACCAATTTAAGATGTCAAACGAACCACAAGCAAGCAAATCGTGTACATCTTACCTCGTGAAGCTTCAATGGAAGCAGCTAAAGGAGAAAAAAGTGCATTGAAAAAAGCCACCAAGCTGCCGCCAGCACATGTGCTCCGCCCAACACCAACAGACGGGGCTGCAACGGACACCGACGACCGAGGCTGCAACCAACGCAGACGGCAAGCGAAGAGAACAGAAGCGTTCTCCTCGCATGAACAAAAAGGGAAGAAGAAATGTGCTGTCAATGAAATGGGACTGGTGTCGCAGCGGCTGTTTTTATGCAGTGTGTAGCGTTAGACTGGGATTTAATTTAAATAATTTGAAGTGAAGCGTGTGGAGTTTTCCCCTTCTCCTTCTCCTTCTTCTTTGAGAAGAGGGAGAAGATTTTTTAATTTAAAAAAAAATAATAAAGTAAGTATAAATACTTTTATAAAAAATTTAAATCCATCAAACTACATCCTACTTCTTACCTTCCACCCATCTTAATTCATAAAATATTTTTAAATAAAATTATACATAATAATAAAATTTATTAAAGACACTTTTAAATTTTATTTTTAAAATAAAAATATAAACTTCTAAAATTATTTTTAATTTAATATTATATTTATAAAAAAATTAAAAAGATACAGTATAATGACAATAATGATATTGAAGAAACATCATAAAATTAGAACAAAAGTCAAATCTTTTAAATAATGAGAATGTCAAATCTTCCTCAGATATATCATGTAATTTGGGATAAATGTATTATTATACTAGAACAAGATATATTTATTATAACTAAATATATATATATATATATATATCGATCTCAATATTATATTAAATTCTCATTATTTAAGTAAGTCAGCTTTTTTTTGCCAAATAAACAAGTGATTGAGAATTTAAATCCCAACCATCATATGTATTTCTTGTACTAACACAAAAAATAACACTAGTGTGCTCTTGTAAAAGATGAGTCATTTATGTTTTATTTTAATTTTTAATTTTACTTTTCTCATAATTTCCTGTGAGCAAGGTAAGAGGTTCCACGTGATAAATAGAGTATAAAGCATTTTATAAAGATGATGTATTATTTAGTGAGGTGAATTAAGAAATTTCTTTTCCCTTGAAGGAAGAATGACAAAAAAATATATTCCAAATACGCATAACAATCAAGTATAACAAGATGTAATAATAATTATTTAGTCCCTAAAGTCTAGCATTTTGATTTGTGCAAAATGATATATTTTCCATCAATGAATGTTATGTTTTCGGGATTGATTAAAACAAAAATAAAAAATGACTATTCTCTTTTTATAAAATTTGTTTATCAATCACATGCAAATATTAAAAATCAATTACTATTATATGTTAGGAAATGGTTACTTTAGTAGGGTTATTGACTAAAATAAATGAAAAATGATTACTTCTTTTGCAATTTTTTATCTGTAAAGGATTACAGAATGATTACTTTAATTGCACTTAATTGATTAAAAAAAAACTATACAAATAAATTAGTCATTTTATGTTTCGTTTTATTTAGTAACCTAGCTAAATTAGTCATTTCTCAATGTATAATAATTAATGAGGTTAAATATGTCATTTCGTTGAAAACCAAAATGTCACACAAATCCTTAGAAACTAAATAATAATTATTATATTTTACAATACGCAAGTGTCATTTACACATCTCAAGAATTTTTTTTGTCATTTTTATTCAAATAATATAAATCATTTAACAACATTCCTTGATTTTGACAAGCTAATTAAAAGTGATTCATATATAAAACGAGAGAGAAGGTATAATATAAAATATTATAGGATATACATATTCTAAGAAAGCATTGCTGGTTTAGCTGGGCATGCTTGGAATGTTGTTGGGAAAAAATGAAAATAATAAATGAAGATGAAAACATAATAAAAGGAGATTTTCGGATTATTTCGTCATGCTAAAAAAATGGATAAAATTGTGATGAAATCTGTAATATTTGTTTGACATACTACTTTTAAATAATAAGAAGGCGCTTGATTTTTATTATATTCCAAGTAAAACCAACAAACCAAACTAATCTACACTCCCAATTGCCAATTGATTTCAAAAGTAATGAAGTGCAAATCATAAATCTGTTTGATGTAATATCTTTTGTTAAAAGGAAAACTTTCATTCTTTAAAGATCAGACAAAGCGTTCCCTGTACCAGACAAAAGCAGAGCAAGGGAGGGGGGCAATTGCGATCCGAGCCGGCGGGACGCAGGCCCTTGACCCTTGTGACAATTTATAGCGATCCAGTAGTTAGCTGAATTTGCAGATTTGGGAATCCAATGAAGGGTTCAATGTCTGTTGCCTGTAAGAAGTCTTGCATCCAACACAATTCCCGAATTCAGATTCTTGCCTTTGAACATTTCTAATTCGAGATTTTTCCAGACAGTCCAGGAAGTAGAGGTTAAAAATCAAGTACCAAATCTTGCAATCTGTCTTTCGTCCACGAGTAGTTGGACTGCTCCTAAATCAAACTTTTTTAGCCCAGAGCAACATGTGTTCACGTGTTTCCTATCAAGCGCAGCAACAGAGATAGAGCTCAGTGAGAGAATAGTTTTGCTTCCAAAGTGGCGCATTGTATGGGACAACAACATTAATAAGTCTCTGAAAGAAATGTCTAACTTTATTAGGAACTTTCAATCTCCATATAATCTCCCAAATGAAATCAAGCATGGAAAAAGAGTTGCCATATTTTTCACGTTAACAGAGATGGCTTTTGAGCAAAGAAATAGCCATGCTTAATGGTATAAATTCCATTTTTTCCCTATAACCAGAAGGGTTTATTAGAAAGGCATCCTCTAGATAAGGGAATATTTAATCTAGCTTCAGCATCAGTTATCTGATTTGTTATGGGCGAGAGACCCCGCTGACCATTAAAGAATACTATGTTAGCAACAAGCATATGTCTTGATACGAAGACCATTTCCTACCCTCCAACCAGTCTTACGTAGTAGCATATTTCTACCATCAAGAAAGCTATTCTGGGCCCATGATAAATTGATTGTTAATGGACAAAATTGGTTTTATCTATGACTTTATGAATGTCTTTTCACCTGGTTGAGTTTATACATGTTTAGATCTTTACACATTGGCGGTGAAAGAGTGATCATTCTTGACATAATTATTTATGACTTTATGAAGCAGTTGTGATCAGCAACCAGTTCACTCACCACAATCTTGATAGAGTAATCTCATTGGTTTCAGAAGCGTGATGGCTTCTTACGTTGGGTTCTGTACTTCTTCATGCACACATTTAACAGATATATTTAAACGTTTGAAGAAACCTTGAAACTTTTTAGAAGGCTAAAAAATATGAAATTAGCTTCACATTTGATTGAAACGGAGCGCAACTTCTTTGAACTAAGCTTGTTCTGAGAGATCTGGATTATCTAATAATACCCATGTCCATTGATCATTTCATTTTGGGTTTCGTTGGTTTTTAATGCAGAGCCTCATAAAAACAAGCCCAATTAGACAAATACCAACATCTCATGAACCCAGTAGGATATGCTAAAGCTCGCTCCTTCAAAAGTTTTGTTAGGATTATTGCCCAAAAAAAAAATTGTTAAGACTCCTTTCACAATTATTCCAGCCACGTGATTGCTTTTATTAAAAAAAATTAGTCAATTAGGTCCTAAAAACTCACCAGCATGATCATGGCTTTGTGTTCAAATAATACTTACAAAAAGATTTAAAAATCATCAATTATAAAAATCCTCACATTAATGGTAGGACTTGAATCCTTCAATAAATTATAAGGCAAATATTTATCAACTGGATCAATCTTTATTGATTTCAACCATTAGATTGTTCCATAATCATCTATCTTAACAAGTTCTAACACGGTTATAGTTAAGTTCTCTCTCTCCCCCATAATAGATTATGGTTTAGTTCTCTAATTGAAGATTGAACCAACCACTCCAATTCTTTAAAAAAAATAATACTAATAACAACTAGCACTGAGAGAGTGGGACCAAAAAACTGAGAAGGGAGAGACCCAGAGTTATACAATTTATTGACACATTTTTTACGCTAGCAAAAAGCTTTACTGGATATTGTCGATTTTATATTTTAATGCTCAGGACCCATGTTTTTAATTTGTTAATGCGAACAATTTCCATTAAGATATAATTATAACAATTGGGTATATGTATTAAAAAATAATTACGAGGAGACTTTAATTTTTTTAAAATAAAAACAGCATGATAACTAATCCTATATATATTATTTTCTGTAATTTCTTCTTCATTACAAGGTGACAAGAGAGGGATTTGATTTTTTTTGTTAGAAAATATATAAATAAGTTATTAATAATTCATAATTAAAGTCACAGTTTAGTCTTTCAACTATTATATTCCAAAACAAACGGCCGCTTCATCGCGGCGCGTGTTTTTATAAAAATTATATTTTTTTTACGTACAGCTAATGTTGATGGTTGATTAGGAATAACAGTTAAGCCTTAGGAGGTTAAAAAATTAATGACAGCTGGGCTGATTATTGATAAAAATGTTTAAAAAATAACTTGTCCATATCAATTTAAACAATTAAAAATTTAGAGTTTAAATTATAAAAATAAAATATTTAAATTTTAAATGCAACTCTCTATTTTTAATTATAACTTTTATTTAAAATTGTCTAAATTAATATTTATAATTATTTTTTAAAAAAATTGTGCAGATCCAGCTAACCATGGTAGAATTTTTCTTTTAATATACTTAATTGTCATTCTCCTAATCTTCTGATTAATTTGATGTTATAAAATTGAGTATAGGCTACCTATCAAGCTCACGTCACTCAGCTTGTTTCCGGATCTCGATATTCTGAGGAGATGTGGTTCTCTTTGCTTTAACACGTCAGGTTCTGATTGGGTGAGAATGCTTAAATTAAGGAGCGAGGCCATCTACTGTAACCGAACAAGGCAACCAAGAATCTATAGGCAATCACTACCCCACTGCTATCCGTTCTTTTCTATTTTCTTTGCTGTGCTTTCTGAGCTTCCATGTTAAAATATATATACTTATGCAACATAATCATTGTCATCTGCATCTTAAACATGTCGCATGCAACTTTTCTCTATAGATGGAAAGATTAAGACATCCTCTACATGGCCCCATTTGAATTCATAATTTGACTCGTCACATCTTCTGTGACACTCCTAGGATGAATTTGACGTCATATGATGATTTTGATGTACATTCATATATACTTCACGGTTCATACTGATTAGGTTCTTATATACTCAAGTCGTGACGGATATATTTT